CAGCGCGCCTGTGCTTCCATTCCATGCATGCCCTCCCAGCGCGCCTGTGCTTCCATTCCATGCATGCCCTCCCAGCGCGCCTGTGCTTCCATTCCATGCATGCCCTCCCAGCGCGCCTGTGCTTCCATTCCATGCATGCCCTCCCAAACCTGTCTCCCACACCTTCCGCCGACCTGTTCAAATTCGGTGTGTCCGCTTTCAGGTGGTAACCGTGCCTGGACCCATCATAGGACCCAAGGAGGATCACTGTGGGCTGCGCTCCCATGCCTCATCTTCCCACACTTTACCTTCCCACACCTTTCTCCTACCTGTTCAGATTCGGTGTGTCAGCCTTGAGGTGGTACCCGTGCCTGAACCCGTCAAACGACACGAGGATCACTGTGGGCTGCCCTCCCAGCGCGCACCTTCCCTGCCTGCCTGGCCAATCCTATGCCACACACCGTCTTCCTACCTGTTCAGGTGTGGACTGTCGGCTTTCAGGTGGTACCCGTGCCTGAACCCGTCAAAAGACACGAGGATCAACGTGGGCTGCCCTCCTAGCGCGCCTGGCCACCCATGCTTGCCCTTCCACACACCCACGCCTACCTGTTCAGACTTGGAGTGTCGGCTTTGAGGTGGTACCCATGTCTGAACCCGTCAAAGGACACGACAATCACCGTGGGCTGGCCCCCCATGGCTGCCCTCCCATGCGTGCCCTCCCATGCGTGCCCTCCCATGCGTGCCCTCCCATGCGTGCCCTCCCATGCGTGCCCTCCCATGCGTGCCCTCCCATGCGTGCCCTCCCATGCGTGCCCTCCCATGCGTGCCCTCCCATGCCTGCCCTCCCATGCGTGCCCTCCCATGCGTGCCCTCCCATGCCTGCCCTCCCATGCCTGCCCTCCCATGCCTGCCCTCCCATGCCTGCCCTCCTACACTTACCACACTTCCCAGACGTGGCCCTGTACCTGTTCAGATTCGGAGAGCCAGCCTTGAGGTGGTACCCATGTCTGAACCCATCAAACGACACAAGGATCACCGTGGGCTGCCCTCCCATGTCTGCCCTCCCACACTTGCTACACTTCCCACACGTGCCCCCTTACCTATTCAAATTCGGTGTGTCAGCTTTCAGGTGGTACCCGTGTCTGAACCCGTCAAACGACACGAGGATCACCGTGGGCTGCCCGTCCAGCGCGCCTGTGGGGGAGGGCGGAGGGCCCCCGCCCCCGTCAAATGCGGAGGAGCAGGAGGCGTGCGAGTGGGACGTGAGGAAGATGGCGAGGGCGAACCCCAGGACCACTGGAGGGCGGGGTGGAGAGGGGTGGGATGGGATGGGATGGGATGGGATGGGATGGGATGGGATGGGATGGGATGGGATGGGATGGGATGGGGTGGGATGGGATGGGATGGGATGAGATGGGATGGGATGAGAGGAGTGGAACAGCGTGAGAGGCAAGGATTGGGGGGAGGGCTTTCCTCGTACGTCCAGCGCGGGGGAGCGGGAGCGGACAGGTATCAGACGCGGACTTGAGAAGAACGCGGCGGCCATGGCCATCGTGGCGAACGGCCAGGTCGGGCTTGCAGGCATGTGCTGTGCGCGAGGAAGTCCGCTCCCGGCATCATGGATTAGTGGTCGTTGCTAAAAGAGCAGGCAAATCAGGCTGGCAGGCTGGCAAGAAGCTGACCTGAGAAGAACGCGACGGCCATGACCATCGCAGCGAACGTCCCGAGCCGTCCCGAAAGGATCGAACGACGAGACTGTTTATGGCGGTGACCGACATACACGTCATCCTCCACGCTTTCCACGTCATCATCGCTGCCACTGCAGTCGCCATCGGCCTCCCGCTTCTCCTCGTTTGGAATTAAGCTGTGCTCCACTGGACTAGGAGACGGGCTGGATCCCGATAATCCCGCCGGCATTTGCGCTTTGCTTAGCATAGCTAGCTGCTCGGAACTTTTCGGTGTGGACATGATTTTTCTAATATATTGTACAATGAATATGTATGAAACAGATGCTGTGGAACGTATAATACCGAGTCAGCTGTTTTGTTTAGAAAATCGTAGTGGCGATGGTCACAGTGAGTTTTGAGGCGTCTCGAAACCGTTGTGACAGCTATAGTCTCAATGCCGTAATATTTTACAGCTACACGAGAGACAAGCTAGGTGAACCCTTCGAGACGTCTCGGAACCCGCAATAATATGCAGATTTACGGGAGGTGGAGATAACACTTCCAGTCTTGCCACACCATCAGACACAATTCAGCCTTGGCACGGATCCACCATGGACCCAGCGGAGGGGAAAGAGAGACCAAGAAACGAGGAGCCAAGTCAGCCGAGTTGTTGTAACCAATCAGGTCAAAGAGAATCTAAAGTCGCATCAAGGGGACGGTGTTACCTTGGTTTCGGACCTTGGGATCTCCAACAGAGGCGAACACCATAGACGAACTCAGCGAAGCACTCTCCAGGCTTCCATGACGAACTCCTGCCGTCTGTCACGAAAGCCGAGGCGAGCACGGACGAATCATTTCATAAAAGCGACGTCCAACGACTGCGTGCAAAGCAAAGTAACGCTTGGCATTCACTCGCAGGGCTAGCAGAGCCACAAAAGTCAACCTGAAGCTTTCCGATCCTTTCACGAAAAGCTTGTTTCGTCAGGGCGCTTTGTTTCGACGAAAAGCTTTCCGATCCTTTCACGAAATAAAGTACCCAGCTAACTCACTCGTTAACAAAAATTCTCGCCAAACATTCTTTCTCTTCCAACACTGCTCGTCTCTCGTCTCCCCCCAACAACGACTACACAACTGTTTCCTGGTGGTACAGTACTTCAACAAATCACATATGTATTTGCTCCACATCAGATACGTGTCCTGGCATCACTGCTTTCATACCGACACACTCACTATCGCGAATAGTCAATCCAGCGAGTAATCAGCAGATGATGCCGGCAGCTAAGAGCACTACCTATCGGCGATCGCGACTCGGCCAGCAGGCTTCTGACGTCAGCACCCAACCGATCGCCGAGGGCAGCAGCAAGAGCAAGAGCGCTGACGTCAGCACGAGCGCGAGAGCGAGGGACAGCGATGGCACCGCGGCGAAAGTGGCGGAGTACGAGCGATTTGTGGAGGAACGATTGAAAGTGGACTTACAGGCAGCGATGGAAGACAGGTGCGTGAGTGTGTGGGTATTATTGAGGCAGCTTGTAAAGGGGAACCGGTGGCGAAGGTAGCGGAGTACGAGCGGTTCGTGGAGGAGCGGTTGAAAGTGGATTTACAAGCAGCGATGGAAGATAGGTGCGTGTGTTATACTGAGACAGCTTGTAACGGGGATATGGGGGCGGAGGTGGCGGAGTACGAGCGGTTCGTGGAGGAGCGGCTGAAGGTCGATTTTCAGGCAGCGATGGAGGACAGGTGCGTGTGCGCGTGTTTGTATGCCATTGCTGCCGCTTATCGAAATGTATGACTGGGAAGGTAGGGAGGGAAAAAAAAGGGGGGGAGGAGCTGCTACGCAGCGAGGGAGCAAGTCGAATTTGACGAGCATCCTTGTATGACGCTGGAGGGAGCTTGCGTGCAACGAGGTCCTGATTTGCTCCTGTTCTGCCTATACGCTGCTTGGTCGACTCCTGGGAGTCTGATTCGCTGGTTGGCCCTCGCCAAGTTCAGATGCCACCCCGCGTCCTTGGATCAGAGTTCGCATGGGAGTTCACATCAGAACAAGACTAGGCTACTTTGTGGTGATTGTGATGAAGGAGACATGAATAGGCATCCGTGTGTGATTGTGATGAAGGAGACATGAATAGGCATCCTTGTGTGATTGTGATGAAGGAGACATGAATAGGCATCCGTGTGTGATTGTGATGAAGGAGACATGAATAGGCATCCGTGTGTGATTGTGATGAAGGAGACATGAATAGGCATCCGTGTGTGATTGTGATGAAGGAGACATGAATAGGCATCCGTGTGTGATTGTGATGAAGGAGACATGAATAGGCATCCGTGTGTGATTGTGATGAAGGAGACATGAATAGGCATCCGTGTGTGATTGTGATGAAGGAGACATGAATAGGCATCCGTGTGTGATTGTTGCGCTTCTATTCACGCTGAGACCTCATGGGCCATTCATGTCTCCTTCTATGCCGATTCTGGTGCCTTTGTGTGCTGTGACAATGCGTGTGGGTTTGTGAAGGCATGTGTGCTGTGACAATGCGTGTGGGTTTGTGAAGGCATGTGTGCTGTGACGTATGTGTGTGTGTGCGTGCATGTGTGCACGTGTGAGTGATCGTGTGCGTGTGAGAATGTGTGTGCGTGTTCGAGTGCTTGTACGTGTGTGTATATGTGTGTGTGTGTGTGTTTGTGTGTGTGTGTGTGCGTGCGCGCGTGCGTGCGGGCGTGCGTGCGTGCGTGTGTGTGTGTGTGTGTGTGTGTGTGTGTGTGAGTGTGCGTGTGCGTGCCCGTGCGAGAGTGCATGGCGGTATCCGCAGGCACAAGGTCCAAGAAGAAATCCAAGTCTTGTACGCTCTTTCTTCCCCTCAAATCCTCTCGCCTCTCCTTGGAGTTGCAGGGTGTTTCTGAGAATTCTCAAAAACACCCTGCAAGTACACCTGTTTACTAATAACAGCACCTGCAAGTACAATGCAAGTACAATGCAAGTACAATGCAAGTACAATGCAAGTACAATGCAAATACAATGCAAGTACAATGCAAGTCTAGTGCGCTCTCGCTTCCCCTCCCCTCCCCCTTCTCCCCCACCCTCTCTCCTGCCCCCCCCTTTTCCACCGATCCCTGCCTTGCCAGTTTTTTCCCTTTTTAGGGTTGCGTTGTCTACTGCATATACATCATAGCATGGCAAATTGTATATTCTAGACTGCCTCAAGCCCGATTCTTGCATTTTTTCGCACGTATTGCATTCCCATATATTGTCCCATCATACTCGATTCGCTTCGCTCTCAGTACTTCCTTCATTCATCCTCAATGTGTGCTATCCATGTCACACACAATACATGATCCATTCAGCATGAGTCATCATACATGATGTTTTATCCTCGTTACAGTGAGGAGCTGGTGCGCAATATCGAGGCGCTGGAGGAGAATGGAGTGGAGGAGATGAGGGCGATGGTCAACCTGGGGGGAGAGGTGTTCGTGCAGGCAGACGTGTGAGTGGGTGGGTGTGGGGATGAGAGGTGCGCAGATGGGTTGGGAGAGGTGTAGCGCTAGTTCCAGGAGTGGAGGAGATGAGGGAGATGGTCAACTGGGGGGGAGCGGTGTTTGTGCAGGCAGACGTGTGAGTGGATGGGTGTGTGGCTGTGTGAGGGAGGGGAATTGGGGGGACGTGTGCTGATGGTTGAGGAGGGGGAGAGAAATTCATTACTGTGCTGGGGGACATGCATTTGTGTCAGTGAGGCTGGGGTTTCATGTAGAGTTCACTGGCTTGACTCTGAAGATGCTGTTGACCCTGTTGACCCTGTTGACGACTCCCAGATACGATCACAGATTTGTCTCAGTGCGCCTGGGCTTCCACGTGGTGTTTTACCGACTTAACTCCAGAGATGCTGTGACTCTGTTGACCCTGTTGACCTGTTGACTCCCGTTGACTCGCATCGACCACAGGCCAGACACGTCGCACATGTTCACCTCAGTGGCGCTGGGCTTCCCAAGTAGATTACACCCGGTTTATCCTTGACTTTATTGACTCCCATTGACCACAGGCCAGACACGTCGTACATATTTGTCTCACTGGGGCTGGGCTTCCACGTGGAATTCACCCGCCTTGACTCTCTTGACTCTGAAGATGCTGTTGACGCTGTTCACCTTGGTGACTCCCGTTGACTCCCATTGACCACAGCCCGGACACGTCGCACATATTCGTGGCAGTGGGGCTGGGCTTCCACGTGGAGTTCACCCGCCTTGACTCTGAGGGCTCTGTTATCATGTTGACCCTGTTGACTCCCGTTGACCACAGGCCTGACACGTCACACATATTCGTGGCAGTAGGGCTGGGGTTCCACGTGGAATTCAATCAGTTTCACTCAGGGAAGATGTCATTTTCCTAAACCCTATTGACTCCTGGCCAGACACATCACACATATTCGTGTCCGTGGGGCTGGGCTTCCACGTGGAGTTCACCCGTCTTGACTCCGAAGATTCTGTTGACTCTGTTGACCCTGTCAACTCCCGTTGACTCCCATTGACCACAGGCCGGACACGTCACACATATTCGTGGCAGTGGGGCTGGGCTTCCACGTGGAGTTCACCCGCCTTGAAGCCAAGGAGTTTGCCGCCTCCAAGATCGGGCACTTGAGAAAGTGAGTGGCGGTGATGGTGCTTCACGTGTAGTGAGGTGCGTTTTAAGGCGCCTCAAAATGCACCCGCCTTGAAGCCAAGGAGTTTGCCGCCTCCAAGGTCGAGCATTTGAGAAAGTGAGTGGCGGTGATGGTGCTTCACGCAGCAACGGGACGTGATGTATGTATTATGACAAGCGTGTGATTTTATTGTTGAATTCTGCCCAGTTTTTTTTACCCTTCTTAACATCCCTCTTTTCATGTATAGTAAATTTTATTCTTTCCTCTATTCTTCTCCATACCTCCCCGCCCCCACTCCCCACCCCCCATCCTGCTCCCACTTCATGCTTCAGCCCCCAAACCCCATTGCTTATAGTGGAAAGAACTAGTAACCCCCTGCCATCCCCCTCCCCACTTACTCAGTTCCCCTCCCCACTTACTCAGTTCCCCTCCCCACTTACTCAGTTCCCCTCCCCACTTACTCAGTTCCCCTCCCCATACCCGTTCCTCCCTTGACGAGTCAAAGATCCCCAATTTTGCATGGTGACTATGTGCATGGTGACTATGTGCATGCAGGCAAGTTGCACGGCACACAGAGAGAATATCATCCATTAAAGCCCACATTAAGCTGGTGAGCATTGGGTTGGGCGGGGCTGCTTACGGTACTCAAACTGGGTTGGGTGGTGTGGTGACTGTTGGGTCGATTAAAAAACGCAGGGTGCATGGTATCATCCATTAAAGCCCACATCAAGCTGGTGAGCATTGGGCTGGGCTGGGCTGCTTTATGGTACTCAAACTGGGGTGTTTGGGTGATGTGAATGTTGGGTCGTTAAAAAAAGAACAGGGTGCATGGTACACGGAAAGAATATCATCCATTAAAGCCCACATCAAGCTGGTGAGGAATGACTAGGCTTGGCGGGGCTGCTTTATGGGACTCAAACTAGGGTGGTTGGGTGGTGTGACTGTTGGGTCGATTAAAAAAGGCGGGGTGCGTGACACAGAAAGAATATCATCCATTAAAGCCCACATTAAGCTGGTGATCACAGGGTGGCTGCTGATGAACAGACTTGAGGTCCCGGGGTGTCCTCCCTTGGGTGAGGCCCTGCTTCGTTCAAGTCTTGATGTGCGTGTTGAGATGAGGCCCCTTCGGTCCTCGCGTTTTCTTGTGATTCGTCTCTTGGCGTTTCGTCTCTTATGGCATTTGATTTCAAGTCTTTCTGATGTTTCGCCTTTTTTTTCGCTCATGGCTGTGGGCAGGTGGTTGAAGGCGTTCGAGAGCTTCTCAACATTTCAGCTGAAGATTCATGAATTGTGACCACCAGACCAGATGATGTATGGTAGTAGTTCTTTGGTATTCTCAAGAATAGTCCACCAGAGGTGACTTCGAGACACATCAGAAGCTGCTCTGCTCACCATACGGTATCAGCTGACGACTCATCATGGCAATCAGCCATGTTGACTAGACAGGCAGCAGGCTGGGTTGAAAGAGTTCCGAGGCTTGGAGTGAAGTAAGGAGTTGTGCTGACTGAGAGATGCAGCTGGGATGTTGGTGCATGGGTAGTGGGTGAATGGGGTGTAATGGTGAATGGGTTGTAATGGTGAATGGGTTGTAATGGGGTGGTGGATGGATGTTCGAATGCAGCTTGCACTAGATTCTGCTGTACATAAAATGCATCGGCGCGATAGCAACAAGGGATAGTTAACTGCACCTCCTAAGGGGCAACTCACCACAGGCTGAACTAAGAAATATGATATTGAGAAACATGATAGAAGTGTGATGTTTTCATGATGGAGAACAGCATCATTTAGTAAATCAAGATGGCTAGGGGCAATAGCAAAAGAATCAGAACAAAATCCAGGGGGCGTATGGTAGTATTGTCCAGTATTAGTGTTCAAATAATTTGGACTCACCATCATGCACACAACACAACGAATTTGGAAGCTGAGTTGCAACAAGCGTACGGTAGTCCAAATACATTGATACGAAAGAAGAGCTGAGGACCTGGGTTGCTGTTTCTAAGCACGGACATACAGAAGCTTCGAATAGGGATAAGAATTTGGTGGACGAAAAGCACGCTGCTGTGCCTCCTCTTTGAGGTGACAAAAGGTGAAAGAGCATCAAATGGACACTGCGGTGCCAGACATTTCGGGTCCTGTCAGTAACAATATAGAAATATGATGCGGGGTCCTGGGAGGATACGGACGAGGATAGATTCTCCAGCCGTCATGGTCTTCGCACTAATAGTTCATTTGAGCCATACGCATTGGTAAGTGCATGCTTATGCGCGAGCCATAGCCATTGCTTCTTGGCGAGGGGTATGAGCGAGAACCTGGCTACTAGTTTCAGTAACAGATGCTTACAAATGAAGGGCACCTATACACCAAAGCTAGAAACACGCTTAAGCGCCGGGGGTGAAGTTGGTGGCATAGGCCCAGGCGTTGTTGACGGTGGGGTCAGCCAGGTGGTCGGACAGGTTCTCCAGGGGGCCCTTGCCGGTGACGATGGCCTGCACGAAGAAGCCGAACATCGACACCATGGCGAGGCGGCCGTTCTTGAGCTCCTTCACCTTGAGCTCAGCGAGGGCCTCGGGATCGTCAGCCAGACCCAGGGGGTCGAAGGCACCGCCGGGGTACAGGGGGTCCTCAACCTCTTGGAAGCCCTCAAGGCCACCCACGCGGTAGCTCTCGACGGCACCCATGAGGATGACCTGGGTGGCCCAGATGGCCAGGATGGACTGCGCGTGGATCAGGCTGGGGTTGCCGAGGTAGTCAAGGCCACCCTCGGAGAAGATCTGAGCACCGGCCTTGAACCACACAGCCTCGCCGAACTCGACGCCGTTGTTGGCGAGGAGCTCGGGGGTCAGGCAGCCGAGGGCACCGAGAAGAGCCCAGCGAGCGTGGATCACCTGATGATAAAGCAACAAAGGAGCTCGAATCAGGTAAGGAACATATTTCGAAATGGGGCATAGAACGAAGATACAATTATTGCATGCGTTTAAATCGCAACAAAGCAACGCACCTCGAGCTCGCGGTTCTTGGCGAAGGTCTCGGGGTCAGCGGACAGACCCGCGGTGTCCCAGCCGTAGTCACCGGGGTACTCGCCGGTCAGGTACGACGGGGGGGAGGAGAACGGGCCCAGGAACAGGTTGCGGTCGGGGCCGTAGAAGGCGCTGCTGGGAGCCGCCTTGGCGGTCTTCCTCATGGTCACACGGGCCTCGACATTGTTCACCTTGGCGGCGAGCTCAGCGCTCTGACCGACGAAGGTGGACGGGAGCACAGCGGCGTTGGCGAGAGCGGCCATTGTCGACTGTGTAAAAGTGTACAACTAAAAGTTGTGTAGGAACCTGGAATGTTTCTGTCGCTGACTTGGTGGTTGTGAGAAGACCATCAACATTTGAAGATTTGCGAATTTGGAACGGACCAGGGGGATCACTGCCTGAGGTATGCGGTTGGATGCGGTGAGGTGGGGTGTTCAATGGGAGGAGGAAAGCAGGTGGATGAGGTTGGTGCTTGGCTAGGCGCTGAAAGGTTGGGGACTGCGTGTAGTCCCGAATCCTGATTGGCCGACAATCGCCAGAGGGAACCGCTGGTTGCTTCAGGGTTGGATGGCTTCGATCCGAATCACGAGCGCTATGCGTGCACGACGCGCCAGGCTCATCCTGTTGCCTGATCGCGCATCTGGATAATCAAATTCCACCAATGGCGGAGGTTGACGTGGTCCCATCCCAATAAGGTTGGGCAATGTACACCCTCATCTGGCTGAGAAATCAGGGGCTACCAATGGCTAATGTTGATTTGGTTTGGTCCCATCCCAACGAGGCTGAAGACATTGCCCTTCCTATTACATGCGCCGTTTATAATCGAGATAAACTCTGTCACATAATCCGAACACTTTCATTCGGGGAAATAAAGTACCGTATGTGGGATTCATAGTTGGTTATTAAGAGAAGCCATGCACTACTCCAAATGATTCATCACATCCCATCATGAAATTGAATGGTATCACCAATTGCCCTCCTCGTCGCCCCCACAACGGCCGCCGCATCCACCTCTTGAGACGTCACACCAAACTCACCGGTATTCTGTCGCTTCCCGGAAACTCAAACTCCGCAGGAAACTCCTCCCTCGGGTACACCTTCAGCGCCTCCCCATTCACAATGCCCCCGCCCTCTATCACAACACCATGGTTGTTGAGAGGCATGGCAACACCAGTGTCACTCAGTGACCTGCTGAATGAGTGAACAACTACTTCACTCAGTGATACAGTTGTTTCTTTCAAGAGCCCCATGATTACATCGATGGGTTTAGGAGGAGCTTATTGTCGTTGTCATGACGTGACTTGGGCAATGAGTGCCACGGTTGTCTCTTTGGACAGCCCCATGACTGCATCGATACCCCCCACCTGGAGAAACAGCACAGGGAATGATTGCCAGAAAGAGGAAAATACAGGGAAGAACATTGAAGCCGTACCAAAAAAGAGGAAGAAACGGGAAAGTGGGGTTGGGAGACAGACCCAACTTCAAAGCATAAAAACTAGGGCCATTTTTAAATGCATTCCACATCCCTGCATCTCCTCTCATCACCTTCTTCATTCATGCGCCCATTCTTTCTTCGTGTAACTCGTCTTAGAATGGTTTTCCATTCCTCACCCGTTCACCTCTCCCCCCTCTCCTACCCCCTCCTTCCCCCCTCCCCCCTCCCTGTTCCCCACTGCCTTCTGCCCCCTCTTCCTGTCATCAGCAGCACTAGAATGCTCCCATGGCCCATCATCGCACCCCCTCTCCCCTCCCTTCTCTCTCCCTCCCCCTCACCATCTTCTCCACCAGCGGCGCCAGCAGGGGACGCTCCACCACCATCCCTCTGGCATGAGCCGTCACTCTCAAGTGCTCGCCAGACTCACCATTGCACCTCTCACATCTCCTCCTCCCACCTCTTCCCACTCCCCTAACCTCTTCCCCATCACCCCCCTCACCATCTTCTCCACCAGCGGCGCCACCTGAAAATGCTCCACCACGTGCCCTCCGGGATGAGGTAAGAGTCACTGAAAAATGCTCCATCACACCTCTACTCTCCCGACCCTCCCCCGTCATCCCTTGAGCCTCTCTCCTCTATCCGCTCCCCCCTCACCCATCTCACCATCTTCTCCACCAGCAGCGCCACCAAGGGATGCTCCACCATGAGCCATCACATAGAAGTTTCAATGCAATGACCCATCATTTGCATCATAGTCCTCTCTCTCTCCCTTCCCCCAATCCCCCTCACCATCTTCCCCACCAGCGGCGCCACCAGGGGATGCTCCACCATGAGCCCTCCGCCATGAGGCATCACTCATTTCCCCACTCCACTTCTCCCTCTCCCCTCTCCCCTTTCCCCTCTTCCCTTCCCCCAATCCCCCTCACCATCTTCTCCACCAGCGGCGCCACCAGGGGATGCTCTACCATGAGCCCTCCAGCGCAGTAGAAAATGTCGCCCTCTGCCACCTGGTGGGCATGTGGCACGGTGCAGAAGGATGCAGGGTGGTACAGTGAGGTGTGAGGTGCAGTGAAGTGGTGCAGCGGCGTACAGTGCGGTGGAGGGGGGCGACATGGCATGGCATGTCAAGCAGGAATTATTTTTTCTCTTCTCTTCATCAGCAGCGCCACCCGGCGCACTCAGAAACGCCTCCCTTTGACATGCGGGGTGATAGATCCAGAGCGGTGCAAAAGGGTGCGTTGCAGAGCGGTCCAAAAGGGTGCACTGCAAAAGGGAAGCGTTGCAGAGGCACTGAGCGGTTCGGTGAGTTTGGGAAATCAGTGGGGAACTGTTGCATCTTTCTAATAGACCGCAGCAATGACATGTCCACTCACCACCTGGTCAAGCACAGAATCAGGAATGGGCTGGATGTGAACATCTGGCACCACCTCTGCAACGTCTACTCCAGTGCTGCCGTCTGCCTGCCACCCAACACCTCGCCAAACTCATCCCTTTCCTCACACAATCAACCCGGACCCCTCTCGCATGTGACACACACTCCCACTCAGTGAGTGGCACTCACCAGCTGGTCGATCACAGAGTCAGGAATGGCCCGAAAGTAAACCTCTGCAACATCCACTGCTGCTGCCTGCTTGCCCGAGTTCAGATTCGTTATGAGAACTGCCCCTACAGTGCGGGCAGGCGCGCAAGAGTAGCCTCGGATGAACTCCCGAGCCTCAGCTTCGGAGAGAGGCTTCTCCAGAATCCGATCCTCATGCACCACCACCTGTGCAACGAACAAGAAACAATCAACCATCAAGCATCAAGCATCAAGCATCAAGCATCAACCATCAAGTATCAACCATCAAGCATCAAGCATCAACCATCAAGCATCAAGCATCAACACAAGCTGCATTTGCAAAGGACCCAATATGCTCCAGAATCCGATCCTCGTGCACCACCACCTGTGCAACGAACAAGGACGTACATACATGCATCATCACAGACTAAAGCATCCCCACCCCACCAGGAACCATCAACTGTCAACCACCAGTTGCATTTGATAGGACCCGGGCTTCTCGAGAATCCAATCCGCATGCACCACCACCTGTGCAACGAACGAGAACGTAAAAGCATGATCACCATAAACCATCAACAACAACTCCATATACACCACCACCTGTAAAACGAACGAGGGCGCACATCGTCACACGTAAAGGCATGAGCTGACTGGGCCCCAAACCCGCACTGCTCCACTGTCCAATGTGACCCTTGTGCCTGTCGTCTCTGCTGCAGGGTTCAATGTCAGCTTTTGCAAGAAGATTTCGAGCGAGGATTTGAGGAAGACGAGAACAAGAAACATGTGTATGTGTTGCGACAGAGAAGTGCTTAATACTCTTCAATTCAACTCAACCACAAACGCATGCGCGCGCGCACACACACGCAGAGTCACTCGCTCTCACTCACTCTTGCACAAACTCTTTCACACTCACTTTCTCACACTCACTCTCGTCACTACACTCCACTATACCTGGTCAGCAGTTATTAGCAAAGTTGGCACATCCGCACTTTCCGCGAAGGTTCGTCCCTCAGCCTTTAGCTTGGTTAGCAGGGCGTCTGCCTGATGGGGAGAGACACGTGGCACAAGATTATTGGATGGCAATCATTCGCTTGCGCGCCTCAGCAAATTAAAAACATCCTGAAATGAGAAGGCTGTTGACGAATGTTCATGCAACATAAGGGTTTGAGAGCCCACGCTTTACAGCATACAATCAATCGTACAGATACAAGAGCACTACTGTAGAAGGTTATATCTCACCTTGGCGCGAGAGAGGAGGGAGACAAGCTCGTTGGGGTCTGCACTTCGAATGGCCTCCTCGTCTATCCCTGGCTTCTGCATGCAGTGGCGTGAGCACCATCGCAGAGCAGAAAGAACAGAGCAGCATGAGTGAGAAGAGAGGAACAGGGCATGAGAGCAAGGGCCACACGAGAACCCACCCTTTCCTCTTTCTCAGACCACCTCACCTCACCCCTTCCACCCCTTCATGCCCTCCCAGCCTCCTTCCCATTCCTCTCCTTCGGTTACATTGAGGGCCGAGAGTATATTTCAAAGAGGCAGAGCGTTGTGTTCTCACAATTTAGTGATCTGCTGGGATCGCTTAACCACTTCACCCGCCTTCTAACGATGGGCACAAATGCCCTGATACAATCAACCATCCTATAAAGCACTGTGCAAGCGGCCATCGTTCTCCGTCTTTGAGCGAGACTTTCTGAAATTCTCAAAAGTAGGCTCCGCTCCGCCTCCTGCACGCGTTTTAGGCATCCTCGTTTCCGACCTTTAGTGTGATGTGATCAGACCACCCACCATGATCTCAAACGGCACGCCTATCTCCTGGAGCACCTGCTCCTGGCTCTGGTCCTCCTACTATACGCGTTTCAAGCATCCCCGTTTGCAACAGTTAGTGTGATGAAAGCACCCACCATGATCTCAAATGGCACGCCTATTTCCCGCAGCACCTGCTGCCGGCTTTGTGATGACGATCCCAGAATGATCTGCCACGACATGGAAGCACGGAGCGTGGAGGGGTGGTGGGGGGGTGGGGGAGTGGAGAGCGGGTGAGAGCTTTTCCAAACCTTCCCGAAGCACCTGCTGCCGGCTTTGTGATGACGATCCCAGAATAATCTGCCACGACATGGAAGAACGGAGCGTGGAGGGGTAATAGAGGACCAGAAATACATTTGATTGATTCCCAGCATTCCTGCAGCACCTGCTGCCAGCTGTGTGACGACGATCCCAGGATGATCTGTAACCAGACAGATGGCGGGGCATGGAGGAGTGGTGGATGGAGCGAGGGAGAGCCTTTCAGTTTACTCAGGACCTTCCCCCAGCACCTGCTGCCGGCTGTGTGACGACGATCCCAGGATGATCTGTAACCAGACAGATGGCGGGGCATGGAGGAGTGGTGGATGGAGCGAGGGAGAGCCTTTCAGTTTACTCAGGACCTTCCCCCAGCACCTGCTGCCGGCTGTGTGACGACGATCCCAGGATGATCTGTAACCAGACAGATGGCGGGGCATGGAGGAGTGGTGGATGGAGCGAGGGAGAGCCTTTCAGTTTACTCAGGACCTTCCCCCAGCACCTGCTGCCGGCTGTGTGACGACGATCCCAGGATGATCTGTAACCAGACAGATGGCGGGGCATGGAGGAGTGGTGGATGGAGCGAGGGAGAGCCTTTCAGTTTACTCAGGACCTTCCCCCAGCACCTGCTGCCGGCTGTGTGACGACGATCCCAGGATGATCTGTAACCAGACAGATGGCGGGGCATGGAGTGATGTAGGTTACTAGCCTACATTGCTCTGTATTTCTGGTTATATATTCTAGATAGCCTCAGGCAGTTGACGGGTCAAGCATGAGGAGAATGCTGCACGGGAAAAGGAGACCCTGACGCGTCGTTAACTGATAGCAACGTAGATTGCTTCCTACCGACTCCTACTCATAGCGCGTTCTACCAGGCAGTTCTTCATGGTTTCTCTTTTGAGTCTACTCAAAAGTCAGTACCTACGGAACTCGCTTCCTTCCTAACAAGTCCTACTCAAAGCGCGTTCTATCTGGCAGTTCTTCATGGTTTCACTTTTGAGTCGACTCAAAAGTCAGTACCAACGGAGTTTGCTTCCTTCCTAACAAATCCTACTCAAAGCGCGTTCTACCTGGCAGTTCTTCATGGTTTCTCTCCACTCAAATGCAGGCGGCTCAACCTCGATCCCCGCGGCTCGCACGCGAATTCGTCTCGTGGCGCTATGAGCTTGAGAACAGTAGCGAGGATTAACGACGATTGTAGTTGAGAGTAAAGATGCTGAAGAGAGATCGAAGCTTCTGGGAGACGGAATGTGGCAGCGGAAGGTGCGACTGACAGGAAATATAGCTACGTTACGCTGGGATTGGGCGGGAAAATTGCGGGACAATGGCTGCCGGAACCTAGATAGTACCGCCATGGACCAAGTGATGGTGGCTTGTTAGAATTAGGAACTATCTGCTCTGCTTCTAATTTGATCAACCACGAGACAATTGCACAGATTTGGTTTCGCTAGAAACACTATTTTACCGCTCGTCTTTCAGCTCTGATGAAGGATTACACTGTAGTTCGACTGAAGCTGTAATGCTGCAACAGCTCATAGCAAGTATGAATTTCCCGCTCATTTTGTATAAGCACAATATTTACAGAAGATCACCCCACCTATCCCCCCAGAAACTGCCGCAGAGATCCTGGGGCCTCTCTGCATATGCAACCTCGATATGCTCCCGCTGGAAAGTACAAAACAATCGGGACCGTCCGATCCGTCACTCTCACCAGAGTTCTGTAGCCTCCATTCGCTGAGATCGGAATCCACTGCCGCCAGAATCCTAAATTCTCTGCCTTGAAGCCTGCGCAGGAGCATAGCTTGTGCTAGCTTATTGAGTTGTGCTTAGTCAGTAGCATAGCGGAACATCAATCGAGTCGGGGTGATTTTCCTTCTGAGCCAGCGACACACTCCATCTCGGCCTGGACATTACGCTGGTGCCGTACATTCTATCCTCGTTCCGCCAGACTCTTATTCGGATGAGGTATGAACGGACTCGAGAGGCTGTAATAGTCGATCCATCACCAGCTTTGTTCTAACCGTTGAAGTGCACTGTCGAAAATGAGATAGGATTGGACTTGAGACGTCCATGAGCACCCAAAGACCGGATTCAGTTTTGCAAAGGAGATAAGTACGGACTTGAGAGTAAATGGGAGTTTAGATTCGGCGTGAGGAGTATTTACGCATGGTCTACTTGAAAGCCTTACAGATGAAGCTTAGATACGATGAGAAGCCAGCAGCAACGGTAGCAGATTGATGCTGATAAGTTGATACATCAATGAGTGGAGGAGTTGGAACGCAGATTCTCATATTCCCTGCCCGCTCGTTGGTGCTCCAACTAGCACCAACTCGTTGGAGTTTCGTTACTAGCACATGCTTCACTGACATAATGCAATGTTACCTCATCAATGCACATGTTTTCCTTCCATACGACGCGCGCCTTATCGGCAAATTCGTGCTGTTCTGACTCTCCTTGTGTCTCACTCTCCGCACACCCTTCTTCGCGTCCTTGTTTCAGGTTCGCGTAGTGCCGTTCCAGCAATCGTGATCGCCTTTTCTCTGCACCGTTCGATCACCGTGTACTAACGAAGCGATCCGCTAGCAGCTACCTCCGATTTCACCAGATTCCAAAATCATCTCAGTCTCCGACAGTAGATTTTAGACGTTTCAAAGCCGGTTCCGCCTTGCCGTCGCTAACCAGATTCCGTCAGGCAGCCAGCCATGCGGCACGGCGCGCGGTCGTCGGGCACGTTCTCGGCGTCATGGAACTTGTGGATCATGGTCACCATCGCCGTCGTCCTCGTTTTCTTCGGCGCATGGGCCATCTTTTCCCCTTCTAACAGCGCAGTGAGTTCCCGTAGATACTGGAAAACGGATTATTCGATGTTCTCGGCGTCATGGAACGTGTGGATCATGGTCACCATCGCGGTCATCCTGGTCTTCTTCGGCGCGTGGGCCATCTTCTCCCCCACTAATAGCGCAGTGAGTTCCCGTAGACACTGTAGAACGGGTGATTTGATTGTTCTCGGCGTCATGGAACGAGTGGATCATGGTCACCATCGCCGTCCTCCTGGTCTTCTCCCCCCCTAATAGCGCAGTGAGTTCCTCTATACTCCTGAAACCGGGTGATTCGAGTGCTCTCGGCGTCATGGAACGAGTGGATCATGGTCACCATCGTCGTCGCCCTGGTCTTGTTCGGCGCAGTGACTTCCTCTACACTCCTGAAACTGGATGATTTGATTGTTCTCGGCGTCATGGAACGAGTGGATCATGGTCACCATCGCCGTCCTCCTAGTCCTCTTCGGCGCGTGGGCCATCTTCTCCCCCACTAATAGCGCAGTGAGTTTCTTCGGAAGCCAGAAGCCGGGTAGTTCGCTCGATTTTGCGGGAAGTTGGGTGCATCAAGCTTTTAAGCCGACGAAAGACGGGGGATCTTACACTGTAAAGGTGCTGGAAGACGGGGGATTCATGAACTTTCAAATGTCATCAACGTGTGGAGTGATCCGTCATGATCGCTTGTCAGTTATATTTTTCCCTTTTCGATCTATTGTTGCTTCACCATGCACCATTGGCTGGTGCAGCGGCAGAGGAGGAGGTGGAGGACGAGATAGGCCATTTGGTCGCCGCAGCAAACAGCACTCTGTGATTCGTCCTTACCCTTCGTTTTATTCCCCTCGTCGCCTAACCACGGAGGCAGTGGCAACCGAGGAGGAAGTGGAGGACGTCACAAGGCAATGGGTTCCCACAGTCGAGAACTGCATGCTGTGATTTATCCCGCCCTGTTTGCTCTCCTCGTCGAACCCTCGCCAGGCCGTGGAGGCAGTGGCGGAGGAGGAGATGGAGGACGTGGTGGGCGAGTCTGTCCTTCTTCACGGTTGGCAGCGGCTTGCTGTGTTCCGACCCTGTATTCTGCTCTCCTCGCCGCCCCCCGCTTCCCCCCCCCCACCCCTTTCTCCCTTCCCGCTCACCTCAGGCCTTGGAGGCATTGGCGGAGGAGGAGGTGGAGGACGTGGTGGGCGGGTTGGAGCCGTCAGTAACCCAGTCAGCATGCTGTCTTGTGTTTCGTCCCTCCCTTTGTTCTGTTCTCCCTGTCGCCCCTTGTCACAGGCCGTGGAGGCATTGGCGGAGGAGGAGGTGGAGGACGTGGTGGGCGAGTCGGAGCAGCGGCTGGAAGCTGATGTGAAAGTCGCCGAGGCGATCCAGAGGGCGAAAAACCGAGCCAAGGCCAAGGTGAGATTCTTTAGACGTCTCATAAGTTCAGAGTCGGTTGCTGTCCCATGAGAGCCTTTGACGTCTCAAAGGAGGGCAGCCTCTCCCTTTGTACCAGCACCTGGACCTGGACCTGGACCAGTTCCCCTCGCTGAACCATTTCTTTCCCCTCCTACCCGCGCTCTTCATTCCGTCTCCCTCCCTCGTCAGGACGTGGCGCTGAAGGCAGAGACCAGGCCAGCAGCTAGCTGGCAGAGTAAATCCTCTAAACCGAGACCCACCTCTTTCCACCCCTCTCAACATCCCTTCCTTGTCAGGATGTGGCTGTAGAGGCCGAGACGAGCAGCGGGCTGGCAGAAGAGACGGGCGCTGAAGGCGCAGGGGAGGAGGACGAACAGGGGGTTGAAGTGGCAGGAGGCGAGGAGGGCGGGAGTGAGGAAGGGGGAGGGGAGGAGGGAGGAGGTGAAGTTGGGGGAGGGAAGGAAGCGGGGAAGGGTGGGGAGGAGGAGGAGGGAGGCGGAGAAGAGGAGGAGGAAGGAGGTGGTGGAGGAGGCGGGAAGAAGGCGGCTGTGAGGGAGGAGGAAGGGGAGGCAGAAAGCGAGGAGGAAGGAGAGGAAGGAGGGAGTGTGGCGCAGAGGAGCAAGGGTGGAAAGGGAGAGGAGGCAGCAGGCGAGGAGGAAGAAGAAGTAGAAGAAGGGAGAGGCGGGAAGGGAGTGCAGGGGAAGAAGGGAGGAGAGGAAGAGGAGGCTGAGACAGCAGGCGAGGAGGGAGGGGAGGGAGAAGGTGGTGCAGAGGAAGGGGGAGAGGACAAAGTTGGGAAGGCTGCTGGAAACTCCAAGGTGCGTCCTTAGAGGACTAGAGGAAGAAAGGCCGAGAGCTAAGAGATTCACCAATGATCCCAACCTCCCCATCTCTCAAATGGTCCTTTATTCGACTTCCTCCGCCTCTTCCTTATCCCAACCTTCCCTCTCTCTTATCGGAACCTCTTCCTCTTTTCTCTTGCCCAGTTTTTCGTGTAGTGAGTCGAGTTGAGTCGACTCAAAACTCGACTTCTCCTCCTCTTCCTTGTTCCAACCTTTCCCTCCCTCTTATCGGAACCTCTTCCTCTATTCTCCTGCCCAGTTCTTCTTTGCTGACCTGGCAGCGGTGGAGGCAGCGTGGGATTCAGAGGACGCAGCAGCAGCAGACCCCAACGTGCCAGCAGCAGACCTGCGCACAGAGAGCAGTAGTTCCGAGTTTCCCCCTTCTTCCTTTCTCTCCCTTTCCCTTATCCCAACCTCTCCTTCGCTGTCCCTGCTTCAGTTCTTCTCTGCTGACCTGGCAGCGGTGGAAGCAGCGTGGGACTCGGAGGACGCAGCAGCAGCAGATCCCAACGTGCCTGCAGCAGACCTGCGCACAGAGAGCACGAGCTCTGAGGCAGGCAGTGGGCTTGAGTCTCAGGCGAGAGAGTCGGAGGAGGAGGCGAGGCTGGACATTCGGGAAGCTGCCACGAAGAAGCAGGAGAGCAAGAAGACGGAGGTAGGTTCTGAAAGAGGCGCGTAAGTGTACGATATTCAGTGTTTTAGGGTGCATTTAAGGGAGGCAGGCAGTGGGCTCCCATCACAGGCGAGGGAGTCTGAGGAGGAAGCGAGTCTGGACATTCAAGAGGCTCTCACCATTAAGCAGGAGAGCAAGCAGACGGAGATAGGGGTTGTTTAGGATGGAGAGCGGTTGAGGTGGGCAGGAAACGGTAGATGCAGACTGGCAGGCGGAGGTTGAGGGATAGAACGTGCATACTGAGGTGAGGGAGTAAGCAGATGGAGTCGGGGGGAGGGAGTGTAAGCAGGAGGGGTTTTTCCTTCCCCTAATTTGTTTTCCCCTTTCTCCCCGCTCATCCCCCACCCACCCGTCGCCACGACGACTTTGGGGAGGTGGAGGGAGGAGCGGCGACCATTCATAGCAGCCCCGAGAGCAAAGAGCCGCCGCTCATGGCAGGGCCAGCGGGGCAGGGCACAGGGGAGGAAGGGGGCGGCGCTGTGCCCTCCCTTGACCTCCAACACACTAAGTTGCATTTGAGTCGACTCAAAAGGGGGCGGCGCTGTGCCCTCCCTCGACCTCCAACACACTAAGTTGCGCTGGCCCTCCTTCGGTGGTAACCGCACGGACTGACCTGCTTCCCTGCCTTTGATGTCTTCGCCCCCCACTCGCTCCCCTGCGCCCGCACTCCCCAACCCCCGCACGGCCACTGCTCAGGACGACTTTGGGGAGGTGGAGGGGGGAGCGACGATCATCCAGAGCAGCCCCGAGAGTAAAGAGCCGCCACTCATGGCAGGGCCGGTGGGGCAGGGCACAGGGGAGGAGGGGGGCGGCGCCCTGCCCTCCCTGGACCTCGAAAACGCCAAGTTCCGCTGGCCGTCGTGCGGTGGTAACCTCATGGTCTGGACTGTTTTTCCTGCCACTAATTTTTTCCCTCTCCCCTTCCCCCCCCTCCCTTCTCCCCTGCACCTGCAACCCCCAAACCCTGCCCGCCCACTGCATCAGGACGACTTTGGGGAGGTGGAGGGGGGAGCGACGATCATCCAGAACAGTCCCGAAAGCAAAGAGCCGCCGCTCATGGCAGGGCCGGTGGGGCAGGGCACAGGGGAGGAGGGGGGCGGCGCCCTGCCCTCCCTGGACCTCGAAAACGCCAAGTTCCGGTGGCCGTCGTGCGGTGGTAACCGCACGGACTGGGTGCCGTGCCTGGACAATGAGAAGGCGATCAAGGCGCTGAGGACGAACAAGCACTATGAGCACCGCGAGAGGCACTGCCCGCTGCCTGGCGAGATGGAGAAATGCCTGGTGCCGCTGCCCAAGGGGTACAAGGCTCATGTGCCGTGGCCCGAGAGCAGAGACCAGGTGAGACGCGGTGCTGTGCGGTGAAACGTGGTGAAATGGACAGTGTGTTGGGGTAAAGTGGGGTGAATTGGGGGAAACAAGCACTATGAGCACCGGGAGAGGCACTGCTCCGTTCTGGGAGAGATGGAGAAGTGTTTGGTGCCACTGCCCAAGGGGTACAAGGCTCATGTGCCGTGGTCCGAGAGCAGAGACCAGGTGAGACGCGGTGGAGCGGGGTGAGAAGCGGTGAAGGGGGCATATTGACAATAGTGGCACTCTGCAATACACCCATTTAGGGTTATTCCCTCCATGTTATCCCATGTGGCCCTGTATTCCCTGCACCTTCTGTTGCTCTCCCACCATCTCCTTCCTCCTAGGGTCCGCTCCCCTCCCGCACAGGGTACGTGAATCTTTACACGGCTGCCGCTCGCTCGCCTTCCCTCTTCCGCCACACCTTCCTAGCGCTGCTTCTCAACTCCCTCTTCTTTCTCCTTCTGCAACTCTCTTTTCTCCTCCCCACCTTTCCCACAGGTGTGGTAGGACAACGTGCCGCACCCGGGCCTGGCGAGCTACAAGCTGGGTTCTAAAGCGCGCCATAGTTTGTCTCAAATGCCTCCTCTCCCCTCTCGTAACTGCCTCCTCCTCCCCCCTCCCTTCCCCTCTCAACAGGTGTGGTACGACAACGTGCGCACCCGGGCCTGGCGAGCTACAAGCTAGGTACTAAAGCGCGCCATAGTTTGTCTCAAATGCCTCCTCTCCCCTCTCGTAACTGCCTCCTCCTCCCCCCTCCCTTCCCCTCTCAACAGGTGTGGTACGACAACGTGCCGCACCCGGGCCTGGCGAGGCGAGCTACAAGCTGGGTTCTAAAGCGCGCCATATTTTGTCTCAAATGCCTCCTCTCCCCTCTCGTAACTGCCTCCTCCTCCCCCCTCCCTTCCCCTCTCAACAGGTGTGGTACGACAACGTGCCGCACCCGGGCCTGGCGAGCTACAAGCTGGGTTCTAAAGCGCGCCATAGTTTGTCTCAAATGCCTCCTCTCCCCTCTCGTAACTGCCTCCTCCTCCCCCCTCCCTTCCCCTCTCAACAGGTGTGGTACGACAACGTGCCGCACCCGGGCCTGGCGAGCTACAAGCTGGGTTCTAAAGCGCGCCATAGTTTGTCTCAAATGCCTCCTCTCCCCTCTCGTAACTGCCTCCTCCTCCCCCCTCCCTTCCCCTCTCAACAGGTGTGGTACGACAACGTGCCGCACCCGGGCCTGGCGAGCTACAAGCTGGGTTCTAAAGCGCGCTGTAGTTTGTCTCAAATGCCTCTTCTCCTCTCTCGTAACTGCCCCCTTCCCTTCTCCCTTCCCCGCTCAACAGGTGTGGTATGACAACGTGCCGCACCCGGGCCTGGCGAGCTACAAGAAGGATCAGAACTGGGTGGCGATGGAGGGAGACAAGCTTGTGTTCCCGGGGGGTGGCACGCAGTTCACCCATGGCGCCACGGGGTACATCAACTTCGTCCAGAAGGTACGGTGCGATTCGGTGCAGTGCGGTATGGTGTGATGCGGTGCAGTGTGGTATGGGGCCTGGCGAGCTACAAGAAGGATCAGAACTGGGTGGCAATGGAGGGAGACAAGCTTGTGTTCCCAGGCAGGGGCACGCAATTCACCCATGGCGCTACGGGGTACATCAACTTCGTCCAGAAGGTATGGTGGTGCAGTGCGGTGTGGTGTGGTGTGGTGTGGTATGGTGTGATGCAGAGTAATATTGATGCAGTATGTTACGGTGTGGTGTGGTGCAGCAATTTGCGGCACCCAGGCCTTGCGAGCTACATCAAGGATCACAACTGCTTCCTGCATGGGGTAATAGAATTCACCAACTTCATCCAGAAAGTGCATTGCCGTGCGACGCAGTGTGGTGTGGTGCGTTAGGATATGGTGGCCCTGAGAGGTGACATGGGTAGTGCGTGCCGTTTTCGACATAAGCTGTGGGCTGGGGTGGTATGGTGCATCATTATCAGACCCTCGTTCCCTTCCTGTGGTATGTGGCATGGGGCATAGAAGACCATGCTAATCCCGTGCTAGTCTTCTGGGCACATGCATGTCGTGGTATGGAGTAACGAGTAACTTTTCGCCACCACAAGTTGTTTTATGTCGAACAGACCATTTGATGTCATACTTACCTGCCAGACTACCCACCTCTCTTCTCCACTCCATCCCCCTTTCCCCGCGACACTCCTCTAACCAACCACCACAGGGCTTCCCCAACGTGGGGCAAGTGCATGCGAAACATGGGCTGTGGGTGGCCTGGGTGAACAACTTTTTGATTGGGGCTTGTACCTGATTTCTCAAACACTCCCTCCCACCAATTCAGGCCTTCTCCGATGTGGCGTGGGTGGGGCAGGCGAGTGCGCGTGATGCTGGACATGGGTTGTGGCGTGGCGTGGGCTGAGGTAACCAACTCCTTACACCCCCCCACACCCCCCCACATCCCTCCAACCAATTCAGGCCTTCTCCGACGTGGCGTGGGGTAGGCGAGTGCGCGTGGTGCTGGGCATGGGCTGTGGCGTGCATTGCGAATACCAGTCTGTGCTGGCATGTGTAATCCTTACCCGTTCTCCCCTGCCCGTATCTGCACACCCCACCAGGCCTTCGCCGATGTGGCGTGGGGCAGGCGAGTGCGCGTGATGCTGGACATGGGCTGTGGCATGGGCTGAGGTAACCAACGCCTTACACCCCCCCACACCCCTTCCAACTACTTCAGGCCTTCGCCGACGTGGCGTGGGGCAGGCGAGTGCGGGTGATGCTGGACATGGGCTGTGGTGTGGCGAGCCTGTCAGCATATCTGGACGCGTTTGACGTGCGAGTCATGTCCATGGCACCCAAGGACGAGCACGAGGCACAGGTGAGGGCAGCACATGTGCGGGACGAGCTGTGTTCACAGGGTATGAAGCTGGGGTGAGGCAAGAGTTGATGTCTCAAGCATGGCGAGCCTGTCAGCATACCTGGAGGCGTTTGACGTGCGGGTCATGTCCATGGCGCCCAAGGACGAGCACGAGGCACAGGTGAGGAGAGAGGTCACGTTTTATCAGGTGAGGAGAGAGGTCACGTCATCAGGTGACTTGCGGGTCATGTCCATGGCGCCCAAGGACGGGCACGAGGCACAGGTGAGGGCGAGGGGGTGGATGGCACAGGCACAGGGAGCAAGTTCCTTTTGGGCTATCGGGCGAATGGTTGAGAGTTGTGGTGAAGGTTTGAAGCCTGTCAGCATACCTGGACTGGAGGCGTTTGACGTGCGGGTCATGTCCATGGCTCCCAAGGACGGCACAGGTAAGGAGAGAGGGCATGCTGTAGGGCTGTGATGGGTTGTGATGGGTTGTGATGGGTTATGATTGGTCCGATGGTTGCCAGTGGTGGTTCTGTGTGAGGTTGGTGCCTCAGATGTCCCTGGTTTCATCAGCGGTTTCTTCACTCCCTGCTAGTTTTAGATTCAGTTGGCTTTGGGAGGGAGAGCGCAGGCAGTGACAGTGATAACGGGCACGCAACCGACTGCCTTCATGCTTCATTGCAAGTTCCCTGTTTCAACCGCCGCCACTCCAACCGTTACCACCCCTAACTCCCCCCTCACCCCCTCCTCCACGTTCCTTCACCATTCAGATCCAGTTAGCTCTGGGGCAGGGAGTGCTGGCGGTGGTGGGCGTGATGGGCACACAGCGCATGCCCCTTACCCTTCAAGTCCCCTGTTTCAACCGCCGCCACCCTGATGTTACCAACCCCCCAACTCCACCCCTGCTCCTTTTTTCGTCCACTTCAGATTCAACTGGCTCTAGAGCGAGGGGTGCTAGCGGTGGTGGGGGTGATGGGCACACAGCGCCTGCCCTTCTCCTCCAACTCCTTTGATGCCGTGCACTGCGCTAGATGCCGTGTGCCATGGCACATTGATGGTGGGTGGGGGATCATTCCCAATCAAGCATGTGTGCATGCACTCCCTCTCTCACTGTGCCTTCCCTTCTCCTCCAACTCCTTGATGCTGTTCACTGCGCTCGATGCTGTGTGCCATGGCACATTGATGGTGGGTGGGGGATCATTCCCAATCAAGCATGTGTGCATGCGCTCCCTCTCTCACTGTGCCTTCCCTTCTCCTCCAACTCCTTGATGCTGTTCACTGCGCTCGCTGCCGTGTGCCATGGCACATTGATGGTGGGTGGGGGAGCATTCCCAATCAAGCATGTGTGCACGCGCTCCCTCTCTCACTGTGCCTTCCCCTCTCCTCCAACTCCTTGATGCTGTTCACTGCGCTCGCTGCCGTGTGCCATGGCACATTGATGGTGGGTGGGGGAGCATTCTCATGCCCGCATGTGATCTGTGCACACACATAAGCATTGTCTCTCTTGCAGCGCCTGCCTTTCTCTTCCAACTCCTTTGACACCGTGTACTGCACTCGAGCCTCGTTGCCGCGTGCCATGGTGCATCGATGGGGGGTAGTGTCATGCAGTGCATGCTTGTGTGCACACACTCTACTCTACACATGCTCCCTCCATACAAACGCACACATCCCCACATGCACATGCACTGCACATGCACATCCAAACCCGTCTCGCTCTTGAGCTCCCTGCTATTCTCCTCCAGCTCCTTTGATACCATGCACGCACTTTTGAGGCGCCTAAAAAAAAGGTCATATCATGGCGCCTCAAAAGTCGTCCCTGCCATTCTCCTCCAGCTTCTTAAATGCCATGCACGCACTCGCTGCAGCGTGCGATGGCAAATTGATGGTGGTTGGAAAAGCACTCTTATAGACATGAGTGCACACATGTATGCACGCACACACACCAGAGTTCTCTCACTTGGTGAATCTCCTTTCCAAGCCACATGAATTCGCTCCCATTTTTCGATCTTCCCAAATGCCGCGTGTATGTTTCCAGGTGGCATGCTGCTATTGGAGCTGAACCGAGTGCTGAGGCCAGGAGGCTTCTTCATCTGGTCGGCCACGCCTGTGTACCGCCACAAGGGGGATGACGAGGAGATCTGGAGCGGTGAGTGCATGGCATCATGAGTGCATGGCATGGTGGATGGGTGGAGGTAGGATTGCACACAGGCCTCATTAACATATGGCATAGGCCCATGCTTCATCTGGTCGGCCACGCCTGTGTACCGCCACAAGGGGAATGACGAGGAGATCTGGAGCGGTGAGTGTTCGGCATGGCGGGGTGAATGCACGGAGGGGTGAGTGGGTGGAAGGAGTAGCCTGCCTTTCAGTGCATGGAAAAGGCTCGTGCTTCATCTGGTCGGCCACGTCTGTGTACCGCCACAAGGGGGATGACGAGGAGATCTGGAGCGGTGAGAATGGGTGCCTGGTGAATAGAGTGAACTAGACTCGTGTGAATGTATGGATTAAGCTCGTGCTTCATCTGGTCGGCCAGACGGGGAATGGGAGATGGAGAATGGGAGATGGGGAATGGGAGATGGGGAATGGGAGATGGGGAATGGGAGATGGGGAATGGGAGATGGGGAATGTGAGATGGGGAATGGGAGATGGGGAATGGGAGATGGGGAATGGGAGATGGGGAATGGGAGATGGGGAATGCATGTGTACCACCACAAGGGGGATGACGAGGAGATCTGGAGCGGTAAGTGTGGGCAGTGGTGAGTGTGGGTGCAGGGCGGGATGAGTGGGTGGAAGGAGTAGCCTGTCAGTGCATGGAAAAGGCCCATGCTGCATCTGGTCGGCCACGCCTGTATATCTCCACAAGGGGGATGACGAGGGGATCTCGAGCGGTGAGTGTGGCAGAAGCTCTGTCATCCCCTTCCACACCCCCCCTCACTCACTAGCACCACCACCACCCCATTTCCGCGTGCATTGAGGTGTGTTTTGAGGCGCCTCAAAACAATCCTCTGTCATCCCCTTCCACCCCCCCCCCTCCCCCCCCACTAGCACCACCACCACCCCATTTCCACCGCAGCAATGGCTGACCTGGCGCAGCGCATGTGCTGGACACTCAAGGTGAGGGAGAAGGAGGACGAGCTGGACAACGTGGGCGTGGCCGTGTGGCAGAAGCCCGCCGATTCACACATGAGAACGAACCCTCTCTCTTGCACGCCCATTATTCATTCCGTTTTACCTCACTTTACCCCCTCTCTGCACAAGTGATGCGACTTGTGAGAATTCTCAAAAGTCGCACCAATTTGGCAAAAGCCCTCTGAACGAACCCTCTCGTGCTCTTGTCTGTGGCACGCCCAGTATTCATTCCGTTTTTCCTCACCTTACCCCCTCTCTCTCTGCACACCTTTCTCCCATCCCTGCCCATCCCCTTCCAACCCCCACACCCACGCTTTGTTTTTTTGTTTTTGCAGCAATGAGTGATCTGGCGCAGCGCATGTGCTGGACGCTGAAAGTGAGGGAGAGGGAGGATGGGCTGGATAATGTGGGCTAGGCCGCATGAGGTTTGGCAGAAGCCTGCTTTATCCCTCCCACCACCACCACCACCACCCCCTTACACCACCACCACTCCGAACCGCAGCAATGACTGACCTGGCAGAGCGCATGTGCTGGACGTTGAAGGTGCGGGAGAAGGAGGACGGGCTGGACAACGTGGGCGTGGCCGTGTGGCAGAAGCCCGCCGATAACCGCTGCTACAGCGAGCGCAGTGCAGGGACCCCGCCTCCCATGTGTGAATCGGACGACAACCCCGATGCTGCCTGGTGAGTCGTGAGAGGGGGGAAGGGGATGGGGAAGGGGACAGGGAAGGGGACAGGGAAGGGGACAGGGAAGGGGACAGGGAAGGGGACAGGGAAGGGGACAGGGAAAGGGGACGGGAAGGGGGTTAGGAGGAGGGCAAGGAGGAAGGCAGGGAAGAGTGAGTCAGTAGAGGGGTAATAGACGAGGGGGTCTGACCACCTCTTGTTCCACACGCCAGCTTCCCCCCTTCTCCCCTTTCTCCCACTTCTCCCCCTTAAGCATGCCTAAACCCCATGCCGGTGTTCAAGGGAGTGAGGGCGGCACAGTGGCCAGCCATGAGCAGGGCGAGTCTGAGGGCCTTCCCTTACGTGTCTGACCGCCTCGCTCTTTCTATTTCCCCACCACCCCGATTCCTCCCTGCCCCCAGGTACGTGCCCATGAAGGCATGCCTCAATCCTGTCCCAGCCTTTAAGGTATGCGGGCGGCGCAGTGGCCAGCCATGGGCAGGGCGAGGCTGAGGGCCGTGCCTGCTGTTTGACTGCCTCTGTTTGGCTGCCTCTGTTTGGCTGCCTCTCTTTTGTCTCCCCCATACCATCCCCAACCCCATTCCTCCCTGCCCCAGGTACGTTCCCATGAAGGCGTGTCTGAACCCTGTCCCGGCCTTTAAAGGTATGCGGGCGGCGCAGTGGCCAGCCATGGGCAGGGCGAGGCTGAGGGCCGTGCCTGCTGTTTGACTACCTCTGTTTGGCTGCCTCTGTTTGGCTGACCAACTCTCTTTTGAGGCGCCTCAAGGGCCGTGCCTGCGTGGCTGACCAACTCTCTTTTGAGGCGCCTCAAGGGCCGTGCCTGCGTGGCTGACCAACTCTCTTTTGAGGCGCCTCAAGGGCCGTGCCTGCGTGGCTGACCAACTCTCTTTCTACCCCCCACCCCCACTCCCCCTTCTCTCCAGGTATGTGCCAATGAAAGCATGCCTGAATCCCGTGCCGGCGTTCAAGGGTATGCGGGCGGCGCAGTGGCCAGCCATGGGCAGGGCGAGGCTGAGGGCCGTGCCTGCGTGGCTGCAGATGCTCAAACGAGGGGTGTTCGGTGGGCCCGCTGTTGCTGAGATGAAACGCGACCAGGTAAGATGAGATGAAACGCGACCAGGTCCGATGAGATGAAACGCGACCAGGTGAGATGAGATGAAACGCGACCAGGTCAGATGAGATGAAACGCGACCGGGTGAGATGAGATGAAACGCAACCAGGTGAGATGAGATGAAGCGAGTGCAGGTGTGAGATGAGATGAAACGATCCAGAATAAAATGGGTTAAGATGCAATGTTGGAGTCATATGAGATGAAGTGGGACTGAAATGGGACGTGGGACTGAAATGGGACTGGTGAAATAAACTGGGATCAGGTGGGTCGAAGGAGATATTCTCATGGATCATGTTTATTTGAAATTATACATGATTACACGTTGCTTCTTACCTCTGTGCTTACACGTAATGTCCTCGCCGTCCCTGTCCCCCTCCGCCTTTCCCCATCTCTCCCAGATCCACTGGACGAAGGTCGTTGCGTTCTACGATGCATCCTATGGCAGTTTTGGGACGTCTCAAAACTACACTTTTTATCACATGGCCACCCACGCACCGCACCCTTCCCCCTCTCCAGATCCACTGGAAGAAGGTTTTTGCGTTCTACGATGCTTCCTTTGGCATCGACGAGCCAAATATTGAGTCGACTCTAAAATAAGCTCACCCTCCCCCCTGTCCCCTCACCCTCCCCGCCCCCCATCCCTCGCAGATCCACTGGAAGAAGGTGGTTGCGTTCTACGATGCTTCTTTTGGCATCGACTGGGGCACAGTGCGGAACGTGATGGACATGAACGCTCACTATGGCGGGTGAGTGTGATGGTATGGCGGGTGAGTGTGATCGTATGGCGGGTGAGTGTGATTGTATGGCGGGTGAGTGTGATTGTATGGCGGGTGAGTGTGATTGTATGGCGGGTGAGTGTGATCGTATGGCGGGTGAGTGTGATCGTATGGCGGGTGAGTGTGATTGTATGGCGGGTGAGTGTGATCGTATGGCGGGTGAGTGTGATTGTATGGCGGGTGAGTGTGATCGTATGGCGGGTGAGTGTGATTGTATGGCGGGTGAGTGTGATCGTATGGCGGGTGAGTGTGATTGTATGGCGGGTGAGTGTGATCGTATGGCGGGTGAGTGTGATCGTATGGCGGGTGAGTGTGATCGTATGGCGGGTGAGTGTGACTCTATGGAGTGGGAGGTTTATAAGGAGCGTGTGGGGAATCATCAAACATCGACTGGAGCACAGTGCGGAATGTGATGGACATGAACTCGCACTATGGCAGGTGAGTGTGACTATGTGGAGGGTGAGTGTGACTGTGTGGAGGGTGAGTGTGACTGTGTGGAGGGTGAGTGTGACTGTGTGGAGGGTGAGATATGGTTGCAGAGCATGTCTTATGCACACGCTAAGGTTGAAGCAGTGAATATGGATTGGAGCACAATGCGAACGTGATGCCCACGAGTGGCCCCGACTACCACCAACCCTCCATCCCTCCCCACTTGTCCCCATCCCTCTACACCGCTCTCCAGCTTCGCAGCAGAGCTGGCAGTGTCAAAGAAGCCCCTGTGGGTGCTGAACGTGGTGCCGACAAGTGGCCCCGACTCGCTTCCGATAGTGTTTGAGCGTGGGCTGGTGGGCATCTACCACGACTGGTGCGAGTCATTTAACTCGTACCCGCGCTCCTACGACTTTCTGCATGCTGACCATACCGTCTCACAGGAGGTTGGCAGGTGAGAATAGCGCATGCTCATTCATGCTTGTGCGTGCAACCTGCTCATTGCGTTTGTAAGAACGGGCTGGTGGGCATCTACCACGACTGGTGCGAGTCGTTCAACTCGTACCCTCGCTCCCACGACATGCTTCACGCCGATCATGCTGTCTCACAGGAGGTTGGCAGGTGAGAAACGCCTGCCCACGCTCATTCTTGCTTCTGTGACTTGCCCATGTTGATGATAGCGGACTGATGGGCATCGATCACAATTTATGGAATGGCAGGCTCCCCAGTCCTCTACTCCGAGTTGACTTTTGAGTCGACTCAAAAGTCAACACGATTTATGGAATGGCATGGTCCCCAGTCCTCTACTCCGCCCTACCCACTCCCCACCTCCCTTACCATTATCACCACCAGGTGTGACATCACCGCTGTGCTGCTCGAGATGGATCGTCTGCTCCGCCCGGAGGGGAGGCCGTGTTCCGTGACCATACCCGCATGGGGGGGTCGTTTCATGCCTTGTCCCTCCGTTTTTTTACAACTGTGCTCCTCCCAGGTATGACATCACATCTGTGCTGCTCGAGATGGATCGCTTGCTCCGCCCGGAGGGCTGGGCAGTGTTCCGCGACCATACCCGCATGGGGGGGACCACCTGTACCTTGTCCCTCCACCCCAAACTCACCACTCCCACCCCCATCCCCACCCCCACCGCTCCCACTGCCGCCACAACCCTGTCCCGGGCACTTCCTCGCCAGGTGTGACATCACGTCTGTGCTGCTCGAGATGGATCGTCTGCTTCGCCCAGAGGGCTGGGCAGTGTTCCGTGACCATACCCGCATGGGGGGGTCTATCCTCAACATCGCAACATCCTTCCGCTGGCGCCTCAAGTTCAACAAGACCGAGGGCGGAGAGGTGCTGCTGGCATTTCAAAAGGGCTTCTGGCGACCCAAGGAAGCAGTGGAGGAGGCAGCTTGATGCTTGCCCTAGATACTTGAAATGTGGAGTCACGTGTTCAACCAGAGTGAAAGCATTGAGGTGTTGCTCCTCTAGTTTCAAGCGGGCTTCTTCTGGCGACCCAAGGACACAGAGGAGGATTGGCGATCATGCTTAAGAGGATAGGGAGAATTCAGAACCCAGGAAAATTACTAGGTTTAGCCTCAAAGGAGGGGGGGGGTGGGGGGGAGATTGGGGGGGTGGAGGTAAGGACATGAAGTTGGGGAACATGCATTGTTGTTTCCATGCATGCTTGGATGGAGCAACCAATCCAGTAGTCCAACCTGTGCGATTTCCTTTATGTATCATTTATGTGCACAATTCGTGTGTCGTCTCATCGTTAGACCTGTTCAGCAGCAGGCAACACGTAAAACATATACGGTACTGTGCCGTAACGTGGATTTGAGTTGGTTGAGTGCCTGCGACATCACTACATTGAACTTGCGGTATTACAGAAACATGCCTTAACGCTTCATCCGCTGCACACCCTTCCCTCCTCTCTTGGCTACTTGTTGCAGCCGCTGCCTGCCCTTCTGAATTACCTTATTCTCAATCCCCTTCACCTGGCCAGGCCTCACGACACCGCTCTTCCCCCTCGCACCCTTAGCTGCTCCCCTCCCACCAACCGCTGCAGTTTCTCTCCCTCCTTTCCCAGATTCTCCTGCATCCGCTGCTGCTGCCCTCATCCCTTTACCCCTGTTCGGCCCTGACTCTATACCTTTTCCAATTGTAGCCTTTGCCTTTGACTCCTTTCCCTGCGCGGTCTTGAGCGGCTCCCTTCCCTGTGCCTCCTTGCCAGCAGCAGAAAGAGCAGCAGCTGCTGCGGCATCCGCAGCAGCATCAGCAGCAGCGGCTGCAACAGCATCACTGCCCTTAGAACCTCTAGCAGTAGTACCTACTCTCCCTGCCCCTGTCCCTGTCCCTGTCCCTGTCCCTCTCCCTGTCAATTTCTGCTGCTGCTGGAGCTCCATCTTCTTCCCCGTTTGCACTTCTTTTCCCAGTGGTTTTGCTGCTCCTTGGGCTGCTTTACCCTCCTTCAACCCTCCTCCCTTCTCTGCCCCTCCCGTCTCAGCATCCTTCCTCCCGCTCCCAACCACACTTCTCAACAGGCTTCCGACTAGCTTTGCTGCCCTCCCAGCAGCACCAGCAGCACCACCAGCCTTACCACCAGCACCAGCACCACCAGCAGCACCAGCACCACCAGCCGTGGCGAAAGTAGAGTTTGTGGCAGGAACAGGCCCTACTTGGCTCTTCTGCTTGCTGCCTCCTCCTCGCCTTCGCTTGGGCAGAGATTGCGGCTTGATCCCAGCCGTGGCCCTCAGCGCAGCAGGGAGGGTGGGGTTGCTGGTGAGTGACCAAGGGTCCTTGGGACGCGTGCAGGAGAGAGCCAGGCACTTGCACGCTTGGCCTGGGAGGAAAATGGAGGTTGGGGATTGGGCAGTGGATGGAGGGAAAATGGGAGGAGTGAGACTGGTTTCATTAGCAAGGGATGCAGGGAGTGAGACTGGTTTCATTAGCAAGGGATGCAGGGAGTGAGACTGGTTTCATTAGCAAGGGATGCAGGGAGTGAGACTGGTTTCATTAGCAAGGGATGCAGGGAGTGAGACTGGTTTCATTAGCAAGGGATGCAGGGAGTGAGACTGGTTTCATTAGCAAGGGATGCAGGGAGTGAGACTGGTTTCATTAGCAAGGGATGCAGGGAGTGAGACTGGTTTCATTAGCAAGGGATGCAGGGAGTGAGACTGGTTTCATTAGCAAGGGATGCAGGGAGTGAGACTGGTTTCATTAGCAAGGGATGCAGGGAGTGAGACTGGTTTCATTAGCAAGGGATGCAGGGAGTGAGACTGGTTTCATTAGCAAGGGATGCAGGGAGTGAGACTGGTTTCATTAGCAAGGGATGCAGGGAGTGAGACTGGTTTCATTAGCAAGGGATGCAGGGAGTGAGACTGGTTTCATTAGCAAGGGATGCAGGGAGTGAGACTGGTTTCATTAGCAAGGGATGCAGGGAGTGAGACTGGTTTCATTAGCAAGGGATGCAGGGAGTGAGACTGGTTTCATTAGCAAGGGATGCAGGGAGTGAGACTGGTTTCATTAGCAAGGGATGCAGGGAGTGAGACTGGTTTCATTAGCAAGGGATGCAGGGAGTGAGACTGGTTTCATTAGCAAGGGATGCAGGGAGTGAGACTGGTTTCATTAGCAAGGGATGCAGGGAGTGAGACTGGTTTCATTAGCAAGGGATGCAGGGAGTGAGACTGGTTTCATTAGCAAGGGATGCAGGGAGTGAGACTGGTTTCATTAGCAAGGGATGCAGGGAGTGAGACTGGTTTCATTAGCAAGGGATGCAGGGAGTGAGACTGGTTTCATTAGCAAGGGATGCAGGGAGTGAGACTGGTTTCATTAGCAAGGGATGCAGGGAGTGAGACTGGTTTCATTAGCAAGGGATGCAGGGAGTGAGACTGGTTTCATTAGCAAGGGATGCAGGGAGTGAGACTGGTTTCATTAGCAAGGGATGCAGGGAGTGAGACTGGTTTCATTAGCAAGGGATGCAGGGAGTGAGACTGGTTTCATTAGCAAGGGATGCAGGGAGTGAGACTGGTTTCATTAGCAAGGGATGCAGGGAGTGAGACTGGTTTCATTAGCAAGGGATGCAGGGAGTGAGACTGGTTTCATTAGCAAGGGATGCAGGGAGTGAGACTGGTTTCATTAGCAAGGGATGCAGGGAGTGAGACTGGTTTCATTAGCAAGGGATGCAGGGAGTGAGACTGGTTTCATTAGCAAGGGATGCAGGGAGTGAGACTGGTTTCATTAGCAAGGGATGCAGGGAGTGAGACTGGTTTCATTAGCAAGGGATGCAGGGAGTGAGACTGGTTTCATTAGCAAGGGATGCAGGGAGTGAGACTGGTTTCATTAGCAAGGGATGCAGGGAGTGAGACTGGTTTCATTAGCAAGGGATGCAGGGAGTGAGACTGGTTTCATTAGCAAGGGATGCAGGGAGTGAGACTGGTTTCATTAGCAAGGGATGCAGGGAGTGAGACTGGTTTCATTAGCAAGGGATGCAGGGAGTGAGACTGGTTTCATTAGCAAGGGATGCAGGGAGTGAGACTGGTTTCATTAGCAAGGGATGCAGGGAGTGAGACTGGTTTCATTAGCAAGGGATGCAGGGAGTGAGACTGGTTTCATTAGCAAGGGATGCAGGGAGTGAGACTGGTTTCATTAGCAAGGGATGCAGGGAGTGAGACTGGTTTCATTAGCAAGGGATGCAGGGAGTGAGACTGGTTTCATTAGCAAGGGATGCAGGGAGTGAGACTGGTTTCATTAGCAAGGGATGCAGGGAGTGAGACTGGTTTCATTAGCAAGGGATGCAGGGAGTGAGACTGGTTTCATTAGCAAGGGATGCAGGGAGTGAGACTGGTTTCATTAGCAAGGGATGCAGGGAGTGAGACTGGTTTCATTAGCAAGGGATGCAGGGAGTGAGACTGGTTTCATTAGCAAGGGATGCAGGGAGTGAGACTGGTTTCATTAGCAAGGGATGCAGGGAGTGAGACTGGTTTCATTAGCAAGGGATGCAGGGAGTGAGACTGGTTTCATTAGCAAGGGATGCAGGGAGTGTGGGGTTGCTGGTGCGGTACCAAAACCTCTGGGTCGCATGCGACAGAGAGCCGGGCAGGCAGGCACTTGGCACACTCCTCTCACCTCCGTGGTCCGATTTTTGAGTCGACTCAAAAATCGCCTCATCACAGGAGGATAGGAGCGTGAGTGCGTGAATAGGGGATTTTTGTAGGTGGCTCGCCCGTGGATTTTCGTACAAGGCTCGCTCTACTTCTCCTAAGACGATTTTTGAGTCGACTCAAAAATCGCCTCATCACACTTGGCACACTCCTCTCACCTCCGTGGTCCACCCGCCACATGCCCTTGATATGAGGAACCGTCTCGTCTTGTTCCATTTGGAGATGATGTAGTTGTTGTGAATCATCACCGGCGTCAACCCCTCCTTCAGCGCCTCCCACTGCATTCACTATCAGATTTTCCAGAAATTACCTCCACCAGATGTTTCCGCCCCTAGTTGTTACCTCCCCGACCACTCACCTCTATGGTCGACCCGCCACATGCCCTTAATGAGAAACCTCCTCGTCTTGTTCCATTTGGAGATGATGTAGTTGTTGTGAATCATCACCGGCGTCACCCCTTCCTTCTGTGCCTTCCTCCGGTCCCAGTAGTCCCTCCCATTGATAAACAGCAGCGGATCCAGCCCCTGCAGCTGCACCGCATATCTCTTCTGCCTAAGTAAATCGTTTAAAAACTTCTGCTCGTGGTTGTGCTGCTGCGAGCGCAGGAACCTCCGGTACTCGTCCGGATCCCTTTTAGAGGGATGCGTTTTAAGCCAGTCGATATGCTGCTCAAACATAGCGGTCAGTAAATCCCAGAGCACGATAAGCTTTCGGGTGTGAACCAGGAGCAAGAACCCTCCGCATGGGTTCCCTTTCTCTTCTAGCTGGGCTAGAACATCAATTCCCTGGGCTTTAAGGGAGGTGAATGGGTCAGATAGCCATATTGCGTCTGCATCGGCTAGAAGGACATTGTAACCCGCTTTAAGGATCTCCCCTACTGCTTTAGTGCGCGCGAGAATGAACTCTTTATAGGGTACACTGCCGTAGTCTAGAGCTGCCCTTCTGGTGTCTACTGCTGCTGCTGTTGATGCTGCCGCTGTTGCCCCACCTCCTCCTGCTGCTGCTGCTGCCAAATCATCCCCAACAGCAGTCTTATTCCCAGGGCCCATTCCATCTGCTCCTCCTGCTGCTGCTGATGTTGCATTGGCACCAGCGCTTGTGCCTGAAGCACCACCCGCACCTACAGTGTCCGAACCAGCAGCAGTAGCACCATCAGTAGCAGCACCAGCACCAGCAGCAGCTCCTGCCCCTTCCTGCCCTGCCCCACCCACACCCTCGCCTGCCCCTGGCTTGCTGCACCCAGCACAGTACACTGCAAAGCCCCTCCGCTTCAAGGAGAACGCGTGTGCCGGGTCCTGCGTGATTATAAAGAAGTTTCGGATTTGAAGCTCCTGTGGGGGGTGGGAGAATCGGGACGAGAGGGGGGAAAGTGCTGATAATGAGAGAGAGTGCGTGTGCTGCTGGGTCCTGCGTGATTATAAAGAAGTTTCGGATTTGAAGCTCCTGTAGGGGGGATGGGAGGAGAGAAGGAAGGGAGGGTACGCGAAGATACTGTGAGAGGGAGGCAGGCAGTGTGTGGTAATACGTGAAGACACTGTGACTATAACGAAGTATTGGATTTGAAGCTCCTGCAGGGGGAGGTGGGACAATTGGGTGAGAGGGAAGCAAGTGCTGATAAGCAGAGAGCAAGAGGGCCAAGTAGGACATTTTCGAGAATTCTCAAAAATACCCTGGACGAAAGACGGACAAAACATGGGGTCCCGATAGGGTTGAGCAAAGGGCGAACGCGAGCGATTATGTTCGCGTTCGCCCTTGCACGAACATGGCCGCTCGGCGAACCGGCCCCAGATGTTACCCTCCCCACTAACCTTGCACGAACCTTGCACGAACATGGCCGCCCTTGCACGAACATGGCCGCTCGGCGAACCGAACTTCCCCAAAAAAGGGTGTTCGCCATCCCTGGTCACCCATCCCTCCCCCACACTCATCCATCCCTCCCCCACACTCATCCATCCCTCCCCCACACTCACTCATCCCTCCCCCACACTCACCCATCCCTCCCCCACACTCATCCATCCCTCCCCCACACTCATCCATCCCTCCCCCACACTCATCCATCCCTCCCCCACACTCACCCATCCCTCCCCCACACTCACCCATCCCTCCCCCACACTCACCCATCCCTCCCCCACACTCACCCATCCCTCCCCCACACTCACCCATCCCTCCCCCACACTCACCCATCCCTCCCCCACACTCACCCATCCCTCCCCCACACTCACCCATCCCTCCCCCACACTCACCCATCCCTCCCCCACACTCACCCATCCCTCCCCCACACTCACCCATCCGCATTCGCCTGTGAAGGCGTGTTCGGGCGAACCTCGAACACGTTCGGGCGAACAATTTAAGCTAAAAATAAGAAACCTGTTCGGTTCGCCTCGAACACGTTCGAGTGCCGCGCACCATGACCACGTTCGAGGTAGCCTCAAAAGTCACTCGAGTTGTTGAGCATGTCATCATAGCCCGGAGACACCATGACTCCCGCCACAGCGAAGTGCCTGGCTATACGCTACAGCAACCCTCTCACCTCGCCCGCACTCCATGCCACCACAGGGTGGCACGCAATGCACTGTATCCTGGCGTAACACGGGACTACTCTTGCACACCCACTGCACCCACCTTGACGTAGCAGACCCAGTTGTTGAGCATATCATCGTATCCAGGTGACACCATGACGCCAGCCACAGCAGAGTGCCGGGCAATGCGCTGCAGCAGCCCTCTCAGCTCGCCCACACTCCACGCCACCTCCCCCCGCGGCACCTCCCTCCCACAATGGTCCACCCGGGGCAGAGGCGCGAGGGAGCGCGGGGACGTGGTGAGGTGGAGGGAGAGGGAGGAGGAGAGGCGGAGCGCGGAGGGGAGCGGGAGGAGGGTGGGGGTGGCGGTTGGGTAGGCGAGAGGGGGTTGGGAGTCGATTGAATAGCAGAGACGTGTGTTGCTGCTCAGGTCCTGTAAGGGTGGAAACGTGGGACGCATATAAGGCGACTTTAGAGGCGCCTCAAAAGACGGTTGGGAGTCGATGGAGTAGCAGAGACGAGTGGGGCTGTTCAGGTCCTGTAGGGGGGAAAGATGCAAAGGGTTCAAATAGGGGTGGGATGGGTGACGAGGAATGGGTGGAGGGACGGGGAGGGGTTGGGTAGGCGAGAGGGGGTTGGGAGTTGATGGAGTAGCAGAGACGTGTGGGGCTGTTCAGGTCCTGTAGGGGTTGAAACATGGGAAGCATGGAAGGAGGATAGACTATGGATCGAGATGAGAGGGGAAGAGGATGGGATGAAGAGCAGGTGGGGGATCAGGAAGTGGGTGGGTAGGCGAGAGGGGGTTTGGAATCGGTCGAGAAGAAGAGACGCATGGAAAGGCTTGTAGGGGAGTAGGGTGGGAGGGAGGGGAGGATGGAAACAAGGGTGGGATGATGGGAAGATGGGTGGGATTATTGAGGGGAAGGTGGGATGATGATGGGAGAAGGAAAATATGTGGGGGAGAGGTGGGTGGAAAGGATGCGTTGCTTGGGTTTTTGAGTGGGCGCGCGTTGAGGAGGGAGGATTCTCACCTCTTCCCCCCCACGTGCGCGCGCACACACACACTTATACACACACCTCTTGAGGATCGAGTGTGCGTAGCATAAGGTTGTAAAGGTCGTTTTCCTCCACGTATGTTAGGAAGCTCACTCGCCAGTCTGAAGGGGGGAGTGGCAGGGGAAGGGGAAGGCAGATGGGAAAGAGAGTCACATGAGATTGTAAAGGTCGTTCTCAGATGAGATTGTAAAGGTCGTTCTCTTCCACGTATGTCAGGAAGCAGACTTGCCAGTCTGATAGGTGGAGTGGTAGTGGGGAAAGGTAGGGGTGCAGCAAGGGAGTGTGCGCAGCATAAGGTTACAAAGGTCGTTCTCTTCCACGTATGTCAGGAAGCAGACTTGCCAATCTGCCGGTTGACACAGGGAGAGGGAGAAAGTGTGTGCGTGTGGTTGGTACGCGAGAAACAAAGTGGGAGTGTGCACGGCAGGAGTAGCAGAAGGTTACAAACAAAGGTCGTTCTCATCCACATACGTATGTCAGGAAGCTCGCTCACCGCTTTGGACCCCTCCCACTGTCTCACCTTCCCTGCCTTGCCTCCCAGTCGAACTTGAGGTGAGCGCTGTTGACCTGCTGGGCCTGCGACAGCGCGTGCCACGCCCAGAACTGCCCAACCAGACACCTCCCTCCCTCTCTCCATCTCACCTTCCCTGCAGGGCGCACTCAAGTTCCTTGCCTCCCAGTCGAACTTGAGATGGGCGGAGTTGACCTGCTGGGCCTGCGACAGCGCATGCCACGCCCAGAACTGCCCAACCAGACACCTCCCTCCCTCTCTCCATCTCACCTTCCCTGCAGGGCGCACTCAAGTCATATGCATCCCAGTTGAACTTGAGATGGGCGGAGTTGACCTGCTGGGCCTGCGACAGCGCATGCCACGCCCAGAACTGCCCAACCAGACACCTCCCTCCCTCTCTCCATCTCACCTTCCCTGCAGGGCGCACTCAAGTTCCTTGCCTCCCAGTCGAACTTGAGATGGGCGGAGTTGACCTGCTGGGCCTGCGACAGCGCATGCCACGCCCAGAACTGCCCAACCAGACACCTCCCTCCCTCTCTCCATCTCACCTTCCCTGCAGGGCGCACTCAAGTTCCTTGCCTCCCAGTCGAACTTGAGATGGGCGGAGTTGACCTGCTGGGCCTGCGACAGCGCATGCCACGCCCAGAACTGCCGCCACGGCTGCAGAAACACCACCTGGCATGAGCGAGTCATTGCTATTGACAGCACCCCCACCCCCACTTCTCCCCGTGCTCCCCCCGCGTGCCCCCGCTCCCCCCGCGTGCCCCCGCTCCCCCCGCCCTTCCCCCGCCCCTCCCACCCCTCCCGCTCCTCCTACCCCTCCTACTGCTCCTAACCGTCTCACCTTCCCGGCAGGGGGCGCTGAAGTCATAGGCATCCCAGTCGAACTTGAGATGGGCGGAGTTGACCTGCTGGGCCTGCGACAGCGCATGCCACGCCCAGAACTGCCGCCACGGCTGAGGAAACACCACCTGGCATGAGCGAGCCATGGCCAGCGACAGCACCCCCACCCCCACTTCTCCCCCTGCCCCTCCTCCTGCTGCTGCCCTTCCTGCTGCCCGTCCTGCTCCTTCGGCTGCTGCGCCTGCTGCTGATGTTGCTCCCCCTATTAGGGTTTCTTCTGGGCGCTTAAAGCCCGTCATGATGGGCGAGTCTTCGGCGAGGAAGGGTGAGTCTGGGTCTAGAGCGATCCCAAACAGCCCTGACACATGCGCACCCGTGCTCTCCTCCTCGCTACTGTCACTTCCGATACTATCCCCTCCGCTACTGTCCCCACCACCACCGCTGCTGCTGCTGCTGCTGCTGCTGCTGCTGCTGCTGCTGCTGCTGCTTCGCTCCCGTCCTCCCTTCTCCCCTGCCCCTTCCCCACCACCCTCTCCCCCATAGCCCCCATAAAACCCCGATACGCTTGCCTCCACTGTGAAAGCGGCAGGGTTGCCAGCAGCAGCGGGTGCGAGGGCGAGGGCTTTAAGCACGAGGTAGAGGCCGGGGGAGAGGCGGGAGGAGGGGTCGAGGAGGAGGAGGAACTCGCGGGGGGAGGCGGGGAACCAGAGGGGCAGCGGGTCGGTGGGCTTGGCGCTGTTGCCTGATAGCTCGATTACGCGCCTTGGCCCGTGGAACCAGGGGAACTCCTGTGGGGATTGGGAGGCGGATGGGAAGACGGGGACGGGAAGGTTTCAGTGTGTGCGTGAGGGCTACCAGCAACAGCGGGTGCGAGGGCGAGGGCTTTAAGCACGAGGTTGAGGCCGGGGGAGAGGCGGGAGGAGGGGTCCAGGAGGAGGAGGAACTCGCGGGGGGAGGCGGGGAACCAGAGGGGCAGCGGGTCGGTGGGCTTGGCGCTGTTGCCTGATAGCTCGATTACGCGCCTTGGCCCGTGGAACCAGGGGAACTCCTGTGGGTGGGAGGCGGATGGGAAGACGGGGACGGGAAGGTTTCAGTGTGTGCGTGAGGGCTACCAGCAACAGCGGGCGCGAGAGCGAGGGCTTTAAGCTCGGGGTAAAGCCCGGGGGAGAGGTGGGAGGAGGGGTCCAGGAGGAGGAGGAACTCGCGGGGGGAGGCGGGGAACCAGAGGGGCAGCGGGTCGGTGGGCTTGGCACTGTTGCCTGATAGCTCGATTACGCGCCTCGGCCCGTGGAACCAGGGGAACTCCTGGGTGGGGGAGGAATGGGAGGGGGGAAAGTGAGGGAGGAGGGATGGGTGAGAGCATCTTTGAAGCATTGGAGGGAATCTGGCAAAGCCTGAAGGGGACGGAGAGGCTGGGAGGGAGCAGGGGTCAAGAGTCAAGGAGGAGGGAGGGGTCGAGGAGGAGGAGGAACTCGCGGGGGGAGGCGGGGAACCAGAGGGGCAGCGGGTTGGTGGGCTTGGCGCTGTTGCCTGATAGCTCGATTATGCGCCTCGGGCCGTGGAACCAAGGGAACTCCTGTGGGGATTGGGAGAGGAAAGGGTGGATGGAGGGAGGAGGCGGGAAAAGAGGTCCTCACCTCTATCCCTCTTCCACACCTGAGAGCCTCTCTAAGCTCTATCCCTCTATGACTTAGCAGGGAACTGTGGCAGGTAAATGTGGCAGGTGACTGTAGCAGGTGACTGTATCAGGTGACTGTAGCAGGTGACTGTAGCAGGAGCACGTGTTTTCCTCTCACCTGAGCACTCGTGGCAGCAGCACTGCAGGCGGTGGCCACTGTGAGTGAGCTGCACCTCGTCCTCTCCATACTTCACGTCCTGCAGTGACTGTAGCAGCGCCTTCAGCCCCTTGCTGTCGCACTCCGCTCTCACCTGTCAGCACTGTGAGCTGCACTGCACCTCGTCCTCGCCACACTTCACGTCCTGCAGTGCCGTGCCTGCAGCAGGTGACTCTAGCAGGACAGTATCGTATGACTCTATATCGAGGACATCCTCTGACCTGTGCGCTCCTTGCAGCAGCGCTACAGCCTACAGGTGATAGCCACGGTGAGTGAGCTGCACCTCGTCCTCGCCATACTTCACGTCCTGCAGTGCAGTGTCTGCAGCAGGTGAGTGTATCATGTGACATCTGTAACCCTCTCTTCCTCACCTGGGCACTCCGGGCAGCAGCACTGCAGGTTGTCGCCACTGTGAGCTGCGCCTCGTCCTCTCCATACTTCACGTCCTGCAGTGACTGCAGCAGCGCCTTCAGCCCCTTGCTGTCGCACTCCGCTCTCACCTGTGCAGGTAGGGAGAAGGAGGGGACGAGGGCGGGAGGGATGGGAGGGATGGAAGGAAGGGGGAAGGGGGAAGGAGGAAGCGGTGAGTTGCACCTCGTCCTCTCCGTATTTCACGTCCTGCAGTGATGTGACTGCAGCAGCGCCTTCAACCCCTTGCTGTCACACTCCGCTCTCACCTGTCAATGGGGGACGAGGCGAAGGGGGAATGGGAATGAGTAAGGCGAGGGAGAGGGAGGGGGAAGGAGAATAGGATGGGGAAGGGGAAAAGAAAAAGGGAGGGGTTTGGAAAAAATCAACTTGAAACACGAGCACTGGCCAGAATGTGCAGTAAAGCTGCATCGAGCTCAACCACTCATAAGAATGTGCAACTGGAACGGCTGCGCATTGGGCCTCTTGCGCTCATCCTCCTCCACCACAATGTGAGCCTGATTGCACCGGTCTCATCTCATCTCGCCACAACGTGTAGCTGAACCGGCCTCAACCACTCACCACAACGCTACACCGAGCTCCACCACTCACCAGAATGTGCAGCTGGAACGGCTGCGCGTTGAGCCTCTTCCGCTCATCCGCCACCACCGCCGTCGCCGCTGCCACGCGCTGCTGCACCTCCTCCCCCATGGGCGGACCCGACCACTGCACACGCAGCCTCTCCGCGCGCCACCGCACCTCCGCGCGGCCCCCCGCCTCTGCCACTCCCCCCCTTGCGCTCCCCGCTTGCTTCTCCGCGCCTCCCCGCACAGATCCGCCTTCCCCGTTCCCGCCTTTTCCGCCGCCAGAGGCGGGGAGGTTCTGATAGGCCTCTTTTTCGTACTCCGCGGCTCGTCTCCTTGCGCCTGACCCGTCGCCTACTGCCACGTGGACAGAGCCGAAGGGATCGGAGACGACCGATAGGGAGGACGAGCCGGGGGAGGTAGACCTAGGGGAGGATAAAATCGTAGATATGATCGCGTCGGCCGTGAACAGTAACGCGAAGAGGAGAATGGCGGCGGAAGTTGTAAGGCACTGGAGGCCGAATTGCAAGAGCGGATTGCGGCGCGAATCGCGGCGCGGCTGCTGTGACTTAAACGAAGGCCCGCGCGCCGCGTGGCGGAGGACGGGGGAGGAGCTTCCGCTTCCGCCTCCGCCCCTCCGCGGATCGCCGGACGCTGACGTGGATGACGTGACTAAGCTGGCTCCGGGAATTGCGCTGCTGACGCCGCTTCGGGCGGGTGAGGCGGACCTCGCAGGCGACCCGCTGCTGGGTCGCAGAGCCGTCGTCTGCGACGCGTTGGCGGCATGTGGCGACCCACCCACGCCGCGTCGCCCACTGAGTCCTCGAGAATCCATCAGGCCGTTGCGACGGGCATCTGAAATCGCAGGGACTGTCTACAGAGAAAGGCTGACTGCGGGCGGTCAATGCTACGGAAGGGTCAACAACACTAGTGACGGTGAAGACACGTGATAGAAGACGTCTCAAAACGGACGGTGAAGACTACGAGTTGGTGAGGAATGGTGCAGGGTTCGTTTTTAATGCAACAAGGATAAGTGCCTACCGGAGATGGTGGGAAGACTACCTGTAACCGTTGTCAACCACAACTAGTAATGCCCGTTCGGGTATGTTACGCTAGTCACACCGTTGATGGTCGCCTCGCCACAAGTCAGTCACTCAGCAGCGAGAACAGAAAATCCTCCAAATCCAACAACCAAGCAGACCACCTGTATCGGATCAGGGCGACTTGAAATGTGTGATAAGTACGGTTTGCTACTTTACCGGACGGCAGAATACGTTGTTTACCGGTTTTCTCTGGTTCTGAGGGTTTTACGCAAGAGATAAATTGAGAAACAGAAATCTAGGGAATTGAAGGTAAACTCGAGGCTGTTGGGGCCATAAAAGGTTGAGGAGAGCCACGGGTGTACTGGCCAAAATCACACAGATCCACGTTATAAATAACTGACAGGATGTTATGAGAAAACATTGCAAAAACTTCAGCAATCCTCTATTCATCCCTGATAAGGTGCTTAGAAAGCATCTGAACTAAAGCACCATAAGAGGGCCAGCAAGTTGGTATGCCAACCAATACCAGAATCCTAGGTTACTGCCAGCCCTGCCCTCCACTGGCAGGTGGCCTAGGAAGGAGTTGGACAAACGTATATGCCAGCCCCTGGCGCAGCTTCATGGCGAATTCCCCATATCACACAGACCCTCTGTGAGAGCACATCACTCTCTTGAGATGGTTGCACAAGGAGCACATACAGAGCAAATCTGTAATATATATATATATATATATATATATATATATATATACCGTATATACATATGTAGCCATAGCAGGCAATCAAAACAAGCATGTTGGAACGAAGTGAAGTGAACACCAAAGAGAGGCCTGATACGTGATCCCAGTGAACAGAACTGTGTGAGAATCAAACTGATCGGCAAACCCTCAAGGTTCCAACGAGCTTGAAGTCCTTGCACCAAAAGCACACATGCAGTCTCATTTGTTCCAAATCAGTGAACAAACTTCACATTGGAATAACAAGAGAACAATCTCAAACAACTCTCGGTTTCACTGGCTCCCTACACATACACCTGCAGCCCACTAGTCCATCCTCTTCCACATTGCTGCAGTATACTTCCATTCCCAAACAGTCCCATCACCTGGAAAAGTTCTGATCTCAACAGTACAACCCTTTTCCTGCACCATTCCACTGGCACGCACTCTAGAAAGGAGTTTCACCAGCGAAGTTGCCCGGGGGCAAGTAGTCGCACACCCAAATGCCCGAGCCATCAGGGCACTGAGCAGAGGAGCAGCCGACACGAGTGGTCTCGCGCCATACCACCTGCGTGTAGTGCCCACACATCTTGCCTTCCGCACACCCATCAGGAACCGGGCTGGGGGTCCAGTCCGCCTTCTCTTCCACCCATGACTGCACCGCCCTACGATCCTCCCTTGGGGTTAGCTCTGCGGACGACAGCCAATAGAGGTTCTTCCCGAACCCCTCTTCTCCATTGTTCTCCAGAGGGCAACCGAGGGATGCCAGGAAGGCTGCCCATGCCTGTGCTGATGCTGCTATTTTCTCATCCCACGCCAGGTCGGGCACACCCACTTCCTTTCGTGCCTTGTTGTGCTCCTCGAGAATCCCGGTGATGTCGATGCTTCCGCCGCTACCGCCGTTTCCACTGTCGCCGTTTCCACCATCACCACCAACACAGCGGCAGCCCTCCCCATTGACAACAACGCTGTCAACAGCGACAAAATCACTAAAGTCACCACCAGGATAGTCACCACCGTTTTCACCAGTCACCGTTACACCACCATTATAGTCATCATCGTTGTTGCCTCCATTATTATCGCCACCATGGCTGCCTCCATTATAGTCACCACCACCATAATCACTACCACTGTACTCACCACCACTGTAATCACCACCACTGTAATCACCACCACCAGCCGAGCTATTCTGTGCAAATGCGGCCATCCCCACAATCTCATGATCATTCACGCCCTGCTCATTTCTATTACTGCCACCATTCCTCCTGTGCAACACCACGTCAGAGGCTCCAGCCTTGCGGAACTCCCCGCGCATGTCCCCGCTCAAGTGTGACAGTGACGCCTGGGAAGTCGCCATCGCACCTGGGCCGTTATTCATTCCAGCGCCACTGCTGCGCTGTGGCGAGTGCGCTGACGTGACAATGGTGCGGCCGCGGCTGCCCCGCCTGCGGCGCTCGTGACTGGAACGATGTCGGATCTCCACGCCGTTGATGCTGGCTGCGCGGAATGCGCTGTTGACAACTGCTCCTCCGCTCCCCTTGTGGCGGGAAACTCCGCCTTGGCGCTGATTTGCTGCTGCATGGAGCGGCTTGGGGTTTCCAGGTCTGCGAGGGCCGTGATTCACGGCGTTACGTGCGGCGTGAGGAGCGCCTGAAGGAATATATTAGAGAGCGTAGCAATAACGAGAGAGTTTCTGCTATGGGAATGATGTTGCGCCAGCAACTTGGTAGAGTTTCGGTAGCGTTTACCTCTAAGGACTTGGTGAGAATTGAAGTAGCATTTTGGACTTCACTAGGAAAATAGAAAAATATATATCAAACACACAAGCAACACAAACATATATAGGCAGGCGAGGGTTTCACAAGAGGTTGCGTGGGCGCTGCGAGTAACCCAACCCCACGAAAGTGGTGTGTGGGTGAGCGAACGCGCCTCGCCAATTTCCCAACCCAACTCAGCATCGACTTCTCGCTTCCGTGCACACCACTCCACCAACACAGCAAGGAGTGGTGCGACTCTCAAGGAAGCACCAACGACTCCCACGGACTCTCGCTTCTTCATGCGAACTCCTGCGCAGTTGCACATAGTCACACGTAGTCACACCCGACCTTCACTGAACTCATTCATCGGTGCCGAGTAGACTCAGTCGTTAGGCGTCGACCTGCCAAGTCAAAGGTGATCGAGGGCCCTTGCTGTTGTAGGGCCCTCTAACACTCCCCTGCCATACTACAGCAAGGCCCTTTATAATCACAGGGCATGCATACACACGTACACGCCAAACGGAAACACACACAAACGAAGCACTCTCAAAGTGCAAACACGCACCGCACCAGCCATGGATAGGCCATGGCACCATCCACATCATGGAGTGTTTAGGTCTCACCCCCCGCACTCGAAAGCCTCACCTGCCCCACAGCCTCGAAGCAACGACTGAAGGCGGGGAAATGCAATGCTTTCGTGAGGTAGTCAGCAGGCTGCTCGCTCGTAGGGATGTACTGCAACTGCAGCTTCCTGCGCTTGACCATGTGCTGCAGCCACATGTGGCGACGCTCCATGTGCTTGAGGCTCCCCTTGAGCCCCATGCCACCTGCCACTGAAATGGCGGAGGAGTTGTCCACAAAGAGAGTAGTGGGTTCCTCACTCCTCAGCAGTTGAAACTCTGCTAGCAGGAAGCGCAGCCTGCGCGCCTCCTTCCCAGCCTCCACAGCAGCAACATACTCAGACTCAGTGGAGGAGAGGGTGGCGCAACGAATCCTCTGGCTTGCCCATGAGACAGCAGCACCCCCGAGCACGAAGACATAGCCACCTGTGCTGGTCCTGTTCTGCTTGTCCCCTGCATCATCAGCATCGGCGTAGCCCACCAGCTCCAAGGACTCCGGCCCACCACCAAACTCCAGCGCCACATCCCTGCTCCCCACCAAGTACGTCAAGCACCGGTCCAACTCCTTCCAGTGCTGATCACTCCGCACAGTCTGGCCCGACCCCAGCTTGCTGCAGGCGAACGAGATGTCGGGACGGGTGGTACAGGCCGCGAACTGCAAGGATCCCACCTTCTGCCTGTACTCCTCCTCCTGGCGAGACTGCCATCCCACATCCTCAAAGGTCTGCACACTGAAAGGGTCAGAGGAAAGAGGGGTGCGAGGCACTCGCAGCGGCTGCTCCCCGTCAAAGAAGCGCCTATGAACCTTGTCCACATAGGCCCCCTGGTGCAGCCACAGCCTCCTCGTAGGCCTGTCCCGAATCAGTTGCAACCCCAGATACTTCTCCACAGGGCTAATCTCCCGCAGCTGAAACGCACTCTGCAGCAGCTCACGCAGCTCCCCAAGCATGCTCTGACTGCGGCTGGCAGCAAGCAGGTCATCCACATACACCAGCAGCCAGCACATCTCCCCATCAGCATCAGTTTTGAAGTACAGAGCCTCATCCACCTTGCTCTTCTTCCATCCAGCCCCAAGCAGCACCCCATCCAAGGCCTCATACCATAGCATCGGGCTCTGCTTGAGCCCATACAGACTTTTCACCAACTTACAGACACGAGGAGTCCCATCCTCGTAGTAGCTCGGCTGCTCCATATAAAGGTCTCGGTCCAACACGCCATGGAGGAACGCATTCTTTACATCGAGCTGCATCAGGTCCAAATCAAGTGCAGCTGCAATCGCCAGAAGCACACGCGCCGTCACATAGCTTCCCACAGGGGCGTACGTCTCCTCATAGTCCACCCCTGCCACCTGCGTGAACCCCTTCACCACCAGCCTCGCCTTCTCACGCTCCACTATCCCATCAGGTCGGAACTTGGTGTTCAAAATCCATCGGTTCTTCATCACATTCACCCCTGGCGGACGCGGAACCAACTCCCACGTCCCCTGCTCAATCAAGCTCCGCATCTCTTCATCCATCGCCTCCTTCACCTTGTCGCCCTTCCAGCAGCCCAAGGCCTCCTTCACTGTCATTTTCGCTATGTCCCACTCCCTCTCAGGATCAGCTGCAACGTCCGGGTCCAGGTCAGTCCACTCCTCGTCCTCCTCCTCGTCATCCAAGCCCGCTGGCTCAACCACTACAGCCCAAGCGTATCGAATAGGTGGGACACCATGAGTGATGCGAGTGGAGCGACGCACTGGTGCAGTGGTCGTCCCAGAAACCAACACACGACCACCATCTCTAATTCCCCACATCTCCTGCTCCCCTGTCTACGGCTCCCCTGTCTACGGCTTCCCTGTCTGCTGCTCCCCTAGCTGCTGGTCCACCATCTGCTGCTCCTCAATCCGCTCCTCCCCTGTCTGCTGCTCCCCAATCTGCTGCTCCCCTGTCTGCTGTACTCCATCCATACTGCTCTCGTCCTGCAGCTGCTCAGTCTCAAGGCGCTGCCCGTCGGTGATCTCCACAGACGGTGGCGCCTCCATCCCCCCCCCACCAACGGGCGGCGCCGTGGAAGACGAAGAGGAGGGCGGAGCAGGTGCAGGAGGGATGGAGGGTGAAAGGGGGGATGGAATAACAGGAGGAGGAGGGGAAGGCAAGGGGGGTGAGGAGGAAGAAGGCGGGACAGGGGGAATCACACGAGGGTAGACTGAAGGCGGAGGTGGGGTGGGGACCGAGGTAGGGACATAGGGCATAGCAGGAGGTGCGACCACCTCCTCCTCCTCCTCCGCCTCCTCGAGAGTGATCGGGAAGAGTGAGGGAAGGGGCTCATAGGGCATCGAACGCCCCCCATGCTCCTGCTGATGCCAAGCTTTCCATCCTGCTAGGGACATGGTCTCATAGAACACAGCTTCCACAGTGGTGATGAGGCGGTTGGACTCCAAGTCCAGCACGGTCCAGCCTTTGCTCGCAGCTGACACACCCAAGTGCAACCCCCAGCGAGCCTTAGGCGCCAGCTTCCCCCCACGCTGCGACCGTGGTACCATGTACTGCAGCATGCAGCCCCAAACACGCACCATACTGACATCAGGTTTGCGTCGGAAGGCGAGCTCGTACGGCGTCACACCAGAGGGTAGTGAGGCGTGCTCCACGCGGTTGCGCACCGAGACGGCCTGAGCCAACGACAGGTGCCACCAGTGATGCTGCACACCCATGTGCAGCAACATCGTCCGCACCGCCTCCACAATGCTGCGCATCTCCCTCTCGGCCATCCCGTTCTGCTCTGGCGTATACGGGCATGTGAGGTCATGGATGATGCCTTTACCGTCGAGGAAGAGCGTGAAGTCGTGCCCCAGGAACTCGCCACCCCGATCAGTGCGCAGCGCCTGCACCGTGGTCTTGCACTGTCGCTCTGCCATCGGGAGCCACTTTTGGAACGCCGCCAGCGCATCACTCTTCTGGGCCAAAGGGTAGACCCAGACATATCGCGTCTTGCGATCCTTCAGCACCAAGAAGTAGCGGCTGCCGTCCTTAGCTGCTTCACGGAAAGGGCCACACAGGTCAGCATGCACCACCCCGAGCAACTCATCCTCCTCCTCTCCCACAGAAGGAAAGGTATGACGAGTGATCTTTCCCCCAACACAGGAAACACAAGGTATGCCTGACTTGCCCCCCTTCTCCAAATCCAAGCCCTTCACTGATCCGTGAGCCGCTGTGCGCTCGATGGCATCAATACCAACGTGTGCCATACGCGCATGCCACAGGCCCCCCTTAGACCGCACGCCCGTCGCCAAGGTACGAAGTGCCACCGTTTCGCCTTCCTGCTGCTGCGTCGAACACGGCTGGAAGTTCGTGCAGAGAACACGCCCCTTGAACTCCGCACGACCAAGGAGCGATCCATCTGGTGCCCGCAGCAAAGTTACATCCCCGGCATCCAGCAACTGCACACCACATTCACGCAGCTGCCCAGCAGAGAGAAGACTCGCCTGCACTCCTGGTACGTACAGCACGTCCGGCACCAAGACACGCCTGCCCCCCTCTCCAAGAAGAGCGACTGTGCCCCGCCCCTGCACCTCCTGAAGCGCGCCGTTGAAGCCAGTAACCTGTTTAATACTGCCGCCGCTGCTCATCTCCACAAAGGCAGAACGATCTCCCATGAGATGGTGGGAGCATCCGCTATCAAGCAGCACGACGCTCGGGTTCGCCTTCACAGCAGCTGCAACAGCCTGTAAGGCCTCCCCGCCCTCAGGCTCTAGCACAACGAGAGGAGTCTGCTCCACAACGGGCTTCACCATCGCACATGATGATTGCCCGCTCCCCTTAGAGCCATCACCCCCCTTTCCGCTGCTACCTCCAGAACCCTCTCCACCGGTGTCTGCCTCCTTATCCGCCCGCTGCTGACAGTACTTAGCAACATGCCCTATTTGTCCACACACATAGCACTTCCCTTTGAAGCCCCCTTTCCCCCCCTTCGGCTGGCCATCCTTACCCCCTTTCCACTTCTCCCCTCCCCCACTAAGCCCACCCCCATTCTTCGGTTGTTGCTGCTGTGCCGTAGTGGGAGGGGAAGGGAACGAATTTTGCTGGAATTGGGGCTTACCCTTCTTGGTAAAGACCTGGTTAGCCTGGGGAAGGAATTGGTCCTTTCGTCCCTCTGACGCCAGCGTACATTCCTCCTCGATGATGTAGCTAGCGAGGGTGTTCTCGTCCAACTCCTTGCGCACCTGCGGCAACTTCAGCATCCTGCGTAAGAGGTTGTACTGCTGCGGCAACCCCTTCACAACGTGAGTGATGTACGACGCCTGCGAGTAATCTACGCCGGCCATCCTCAGGTTCACTAGGATCTGCTGCGCACGGTTGCAATAGGACGTAGCGGACTCATGCTCTCCCATCTCGAGGTTAGTGAGCGCCTGCTCTAACTGACCGATGTACAGATCGTCCTTCGCCATGTACGTGCGCATAATAAACTGCCATGCCTGATAGCCGGCATCAACCTTCATGCGACACGCCTTAAGGGCGATTTGTACGGTTGGGGAGCAGCATCGGGAAATAGTGGTGAATGTCAGCAACTGCATCGCGCGGAACTGAGAGAGATGCGCAAGCGCACGCGCTGGTGGAATAGGGGTGGTGCCATCTATGAATCACTTTAGCTGAGCGATCTCAAGCTGCGGCTCGATTGATTCTGTCCACGTCGACAGGTCGTGACGTCCTTCTAACGGACTAGTGACAACGATCTTGTCTGGAGTGAATCTGAAGTAGCCATAGTTGGGGGCTATTCCCTCGTCCCTCGACATCGATCCAATCGGGGTAACGCCCGGCATAGTCTCACTATCGAACTCTTCCGCAATTCCTCCCCCAGCAACGCTTCGCCGTCCTACATTCGCATGCTCTCGTGACGCTGCTGCACGATGAACACGCTCCTGTACACCGCCGACGCTAGCCGTACTAAACCGAGTTGGTCTTCGCAGGACCCCACGCGACATCAACCCATCAAACTCCTCGTCATCGCTATTTCCGCCATCGATAGCCATATCCCACGCACTAGTACCTCCCGCAACTTGCTCAACATTCTCTACACGTGGGGAAGGGTGCTCACGACGCCGACGCGAGCGCAATCCCTCCAACATTAGCTCGTATTCAATATCACTAATCTCACCACGAGAATGACGAGCCACGAGATCCTCCTCTAGAGTGCGCAAATTACCGGCCTCCACGTTCGCCTCCTCAGTACTCATCCTCTACGACATCTCTATAAGGTACCACAAATTAAAATAAAGTGCCCCTTCCTTAAATCCCTCGTCTCGGGGTCACCTCACAAGGGTCCTCAGACGAGTGGTAATAAATTACCAAACGCCCTATCCTTGGGTCCGAGAACGTAACTGGAGGGAAATCAAGAGAGGTTCAACTTAGATTAATAAGCGCCCTTCACTAACGCCGCACGCCAAGGCGAGTATACGAACGCGAATATCAACGACGACGGAAATCTATGCGTGTTCGTTCCACGCTCACCGCACCATGAAGGAATATATTAGAGAGCGTAGCAATAACGAGAGAGTTTCTGCTATGGGAATGATGTTGCGCCAGCAACTTGGTAGAGTTTCGGTAGCGTTTACCTCTAAGGACTTGGTGAGAATTGAAGTAGCATTTTGGACTTCACTAGGAAAATAGAAAAATATATATCAAACACACAAGCAACACAAACATATATAGGCAGGCGAGGGTTTCACAAGAGGTTGCGTGGGCGCTGCGAGTAACCCAACCCCACGAAAGTGGTGTGTGGGTGAGCGAACGCGCCTCGCCAATTTCCCAACCCAACTCAGCATCGACTTCTCGCTTCCGTGCACACCACTCCACCAACACAGCAAGGAGTGGTGCGACTCTCAAGGAAGCGCCAACGACTCCCACGGACTCTCGCTTCTTCATGCGAACTCCTGCGCAGTTGCACATAGTCACACGTAGTCACACCCGACCTTCACTGAACTCATTCATCGGTGCCGAGTAGACTCAGTCGTTAGGCGTCGACCTGCCAAGTCAAAGGTGATCGAGGGCCCTTGCTGTTGTAGGGCCCTCTAACAGCGCCATCATCGGTGGCGTATTGGGCAGCGCGACTTCCAGCAGCGTGCTGATTCCACCTCGGAGTTGCGTGGGAACCAGCACCAGTAGCACCTCTGGCAGAATCATACACGAGAGGCTCCGAGACCCTCTGCGACACCGGCGAAGCCTTGGCGTGAATTCCGCGAGGCGCGCCGCTGGGTCGATTCGAACCTATTGCTGCCACATTCCAAGATACAGCGTCTTCGTCGTTGCCGCGACGGACTAGAGCACGTCGCCACGGATGAGCCGCGCTGGATCCGATGAGGAGAGAGAGAAATAGAGAGGCCGCCATGAGCTGTGGTTTCACCAGAGTCCCCATTGGGCCGCAAGAGATTCAGACCGAGTAGTGTGGCGAGTAACACGCTGCTAACGGAAGGTGGTTCCTATCAGGGCTGGTGAATACGGGGTTGGAGAGGTGGAGATAGCTGGTTTGTGTTTTCGAGCAATTCTGGCTGCTCAATTTGAACCTCCAATTCCGCTCCGAAATGCGGTTCGAGAAAAGAGGAGGGCTGCGGTGATGGCGACGGGTTACCCTTTCTCGCGTGGTGTGCAAGGGACGGAAAGGACGGAGAGTTCGTGAAGACGGGTGAATTTTGGGGTCTGGGCGCTTCGAGGCTGGAGACCAGCCATAATGAAGTGCTAGGAGCTGTAAAATAATGAATAACATCAATCGTCTGTATTGCAAGTGAAAACCTGCCAAAAGCTCTGGGGGCCCTGGACCTTCTGACACAGACCGGGGTGGAATTCTGACCAAGACCTAAGGCGACAAGGGGCAGCCTCAAATGGTGAGGTTTAAAGGCTGAGTCATAGACTTCTAAATCTTGGGGTTACAAGATGTAGTGGGCAACATCTAACACGCTTGTGACATAGATTCCAGTATAGCAATCCTGCTCTGCTTAAGATTGGACCCCACCAGGCCTGCATCACAAGAGCGCCTGCATTTTAAGAGTAGCTATCAACCAATCCAAATCCTGCATTCCTGCAATGCAACCCAGTCTTCCCATTCTTCCCCTCGTCACGCCCATCTGCTTGCCATGATCAGGGCAGGCCTTACTTTTACGATAAATTTGTTTACGGCCCACCACGTCCCTGCTCCTCCCTTGTGTGCATGTCATGCAGCCCCAGCACCTCGTCGTGCTCCCACAAACACACATACATACCCTGCACTTTCACCTGCTTGCCTCTGCGTCTTCCCATTCTCCAGCCTACCAGTCAGTCACTCTTGAATCGACTCCAAATCACTCTTCTCCTCTGTCACCTTTTCCTCCTGAACATGCTCCTCCCCCACCCGCATGTCATGCAGCCCCAGCTCCTCATCCTGCTCCTCCCACCACCGCACATACTCCTCCACCTGCACTTTTACCTTCTTGCCTTCAAGCCTACTGGTCAGTTATTCCTGAATCAAATCAAGCTCGCTTTCCCCCTCCACATGCTGCTGCTCAGTCCGCATGTCATGCAGCCCCAGCTCCTCGTCCTGCTCCCACCACGGCACATACTCCTCCACTTGCACTTTCGTCTGTTTGCCTTCAAATCTACTGGACAGTCACTCTTGAATCGCCTCCAGCTCAGCTTTGCCCTGCCCATGCTCCTCCCCTGTCCGCATGTCATGCAGTCCCAGCTCCTCATCCTGCTCCCACGACCGCACATACTCCTCTACCTGCACCTGCCCATCGTCCTCCAGTCGCTCGCCCACAAACGACACGAACGAGTTCGCCAACGCGTCGTCCAGCACCAAATGCCACTCCGTCAACTCCTCCATCTCCTCCCCCTCCGCCTCCTCCACCCCCCCTCCCTCCCCCGATTCTCCCTTCTCGTTCTCCGACTTCCTCTTAGCTCCTGACTCATTCTCATTCCCAGCACCACTAGCACCAGCACCGGCTCTGTTACGTTTCACGCTCACAGGTTCACCAGCAGCCAGCGCGCGCAGCTGCTTATCCAAATCCTGCCATTTGCTCCTCTGCCACTCGGGCGCGCTGTCCCCGATCTCAAACGGCCGGATCCGTTTCAAGCTGTCCGCGATTTCCGTTACAAGCCCCTCCACTGTAGTCACGCGTCCGCCTAGAGTCCCAGCGCCTAGTTCTAATTCAATTTCGGGGATATACACCGCCGCGGATTCGGCTTTAATTATATCGCGGGATAGATCCTTCTGGTTGCGGACCGTGAGGGTGATTTTGCGTCCCTTAGGCGCGACGCCGCCGGCCGCTTTAAGTTCGGAGTTCTTATACCCGCACGCGTCGCATGACGTGGCCATCAGGATGACGTCCTTGAAATACGGAATCCGCGTCGCGAACATGCGCGTCACGCAGACCTCGTCCACGTGTGCTGCTTCTCCCTCCGCTCCCCCTTCCGCTCCCCCCTCCGCCTTCCCCTCTGCGTCCACCTTTTCCCCATCCTCCTCCCCCCCGTCCCCAGTCGCGCCACTCGACCCGCCACTCGCCGGATCACTCGCTGCGCCGCTCTTCGCGCTGCCCTCCGCGCCGCTCGCCGGGCCGCTAGCGCCGCACGCGCTGCAGGTGGCGGGGAACACCATCACCTCCTCGGGCGCGGAGTACCCGCACAGCAGCGCGTTACTCGCCAGGTCCGCGTTATTCCCGCCGGCAATCGCGCGGTACGCCAGCTCAGCACCCACCGACCCGTGCGGAAGCTTGGTCGGATCCCCCGCTGCGCCTCCCCCTGAACCTTCCCCCGCTTCCCCGTCTTCCCCCGCGCCCGCGGGAGCCGCGAGAAACCCTAGCTTCTCGTTCTGCTCTGCCGTGCGCTCGTAATGCTCAACTTTCAGGATCGGATCGGGCTCCGGAGCGCGCGGGTTCTCGACGTAACTGTTACCCGACGGATCGTCTAGCACGAGCGTGAACGCGCGTGAGCCGTCGATGCAGGATTTCAGCTTCGCGAGGAATTCGTCGATTGCGGCGGCGACGGCGGCGTCCGCCGCGCGGCGCTCCGCTTGCAGCGCGCCGAGCCCGTCGTGCGCGCGGGTCAAGACGCCCTCCACTGTGGTGAGCGTGCCGCGCTGCGACTCGGGCGGAATCTCAAAGTCGATCTCCGGAATGCGGATCGTCGCCGAATCGGATTTTACCACTTGGCGGTTCATCAGCGCCTCGTGGGAGTCTATGGTTTCCTCGGCTGCTCCTTCCGCGGAGACCGGTACGGAAAGGGAGAACCGTACGCCGGCGGGTTGTAACGACCCGGCGAACTGTACCTCGTTGTTGGACTCGTTACAATGCGGGCACTCGAACGCCATGATCACGAGCTCCCGAAAATGCGGGACACGTGTCAGCAGGAGCCGCGTCGTGCCCTGCTCGTGGCACCGCATGCACAGGCTCTCGATCTCGTCCACCGCCGGAGGCCCCGCCGCAGCGGACGCAGCGGCGGCGGCGGCTTCCGCGGAGGCGGAATCGGCGGAATCGGCGCCGCCGTTAATCTCCGCGGCGACTCGAGCGGAGAGATCTTCCACTGCCTGGCCAATGTCTGGAATCGCTGGCGCTGACGTGGCCATTGCGGCGGTTTAGAAGAGGGTAAAAGTTTGAAGGAAAATATGGGGTAGTGGAGTAAATTGTGCACGAAAATAAAAGTCTGTGCAGTAGTAGTGGGCCCGCTAATTGTTGCCGAAATTACGTAAAATTTACGTGACAAGGATTCTATAATAAGACCTGGAACAGATGATCGCACTGACTTTATAGGCCTCTCTCGTAAGAGTTACGGTGGATCAGAATGCCTCGAGAAGCCTCAAGAAGAGAGGTTCTAGGCTAGGTTCTAGAATCTAGAATCTAGAACACAGGGAATAGGGTTCTAGAGACCTCGAATAACCAGCTTCGCAATAAGCCCTCGAGCCGAAATTGATACACTTCAATGAAATGGCGTATACATCCTGATGTACAGAAAACATCAAGTTGACAGCGTGTTCTTTTTGAGAAGCTCGAAACAGATATTTTCGAACCCAAAATTGAAGATTGTCCTACGAGACTGACATTTGCCCTTGACGCGAAATCTCGTGCGTCTTTGTTTCAGACCGATCCGAAATTGATAGGGCTGAGACTTGGAGAGAATGCGTCCTCGAGCTTCGCATTCAACTTAGTAGGCGGCGACTTGGACCAAGCCTAGTTCCTGTCGCGGAAAGCTCACCATCGAAATAGCCACAGTCAGGGGCTGATCTCCAGGGAGCACCCCCCGTTGCATCTCACTTCCCATACTCCGCGTCGCTTCACCTCGCAGCCGTCATTCTCATTTCCGCGTGTCGCTCGCTTTCACCGATTCATCTCAGCTCTCCACGTTTCAACTTGCGGACTTGACGCGCCTCGACAGCCCTTCCAGTGCTAAACTCGACCAGCGCTGTGAATCCGACGCTGCTTCAGTGGCAGGAAGACTCACCCAAACGAGTCATTACAGATTCGAACATCACGAATCCAATGCCGTCACCGCTTCTCCTGCGCCGCCTCTCCGCCCTTCGCCGCCGTTCCTCTCCCCACTCCCGCCTCCTGCCAGCTTTAATCTCTCACTCACCCTCCTCCGCCTCATCCTCCTCCTCATCCTCCTCCCTTCGTGCTTCTCACTTCTCCTCTCCCTCCTCTCCCTCCTTTGCTCGACTCACCTCTCCCGAACCTTCCATTTCTCGGATTTCCTCAACCCAATCCCCCTCTCCCGTGTCTGTCTCTCATTGGCCCTCCGTCTTTCCCTCACCCAACCGGCCACTTGACACGTCAGCAGCAGCCCCGTTGGTCGATTCGCCAATCCCATCCTCCAGCCAATCAGTGACGTGTCAAAATGCCACTGGTGCTTCCCTGCCAAGCCCATCAGTCATCAGGCCATCGTCGCCGTTCATCGGATCTGCTGAGAACCAATCACTGTCCAGCCGAACCATTTTCAACCAATCACCGTCTAGCCAACCCCTGTTAAGCCAAGCACACCTACGGTTACGCTTCAGCTGTCACCTCTTATACAACTCCCACTTTGTACGCAGCTATCCGCCACACCACTACCTTCTAAGCACACGAGGATTCGCAAGTGACACGCTCCTGCCACTCCAAATCGAAGCATCTGATAACAGATCGTCCCATAGCGAGTCCTCCTATAACGCATCAGAAGCAGCTGGCAACCACAGTATCACCACTCTAAACACCTGGGACCGTGACTCAGAACCCCAGGAGCGAGGGTCAGGATTTGAAAGGTCTCAAGACTGGGTTCAGTGGAGGGGTGACGAAGCACACGCAGGGTCGTCAGGATCAGATTCTGATGGTTTGATAGACGCTGCAGCAGCAGTAGGCGCAGGGAGGGGGGGAGACGCAACAGGAGCAGTGGGAGCAGCAGCGGGGGCAGCAGGGTGGTTGGGTGGCTGGGCGTGGCTGGGTGTGCCTGTAGACGCTGTGACTCAAATGGTGTCCTCGATACAAGCCACCACAGGAGCCCACTGGTGAGACTCGCATTGCCTGACAGTGTTCGCTTCTGAGTTGGAAGTTTCAAAACTCACCTGATTGCCCGACAATGCTCGTTCTTTTCTACGAATGAATCGACCGTCTTTTCTTCAGTAATGCCATGTTTTGAGTCGACTTAAAACTCGACTCAGTAATGCCATGTTTTGAGTCGACTCAAAACTCGACTCAGTAATGCCATGGCTTTTTAACGTTGCAAATTGTCCGTTATGTACTTGTATGCTTTCTTTTCTTCTTTGCTCATGCACACACCCGCCACAATTTCTCTCTGTCATGCCAGGTGGCTCACGCTGATTGGCTCCACCCTCGCTCTCCGCCTGGCGCTCTTCCCCCTCACGTGGCATCAGATGAGCATCAGCTCCCAGCTCGCTGCCCTGGGACCCAAACGTATGTCACGTTCCCCTTTTTATCCAAGTGCGACTTAGGCACACTCTCTATAACTATAATCACCTGCCTCACTCTCTCCGCCTCTCACTCTTCCCCCTCACGTGGGTGGCATCAAATGAGCTACATCAGCTTGTAGCTCGCCGCCCTGGGACCCAAATGTATGCCGATTCCTCCTTCTATCCAGAAGTTTCTTTGACACACGCTCTTTACTCGCCCCGATTTACGCTCTTCCCCCTCACGTGGCATGAGATGAGCATCCGCTCGCAGCTCGCCGCACTGGGGCATACATACATGTACGCCACCCCCTCTTTTGTTTTCTCTTCTTAAACTGCATAGACACACAACTCTGCATTCCCCCGCCCCTCACACTCTCCCCCTCGCGCTCTTCCCCCTCACACTCTCCCCCTCGCGCTCTTCCCCCTCACGCTCTCCCCCTCGCGCTCTTCCCCCTCACGTGGCATCAGATCAGATGAGCATCAGCTCGTGGCTCGATGCCCTGGGACCCAAATGTACGCCGCATCGCTTTGCTGAATCATGCTTAAGTGAGGAGGAGGCAGGCCATGGCAACAAGCATGAGGTCGTTTTTGAGGCGCCTCAAAAACGACCTCAAGGAGGCAGGACAAATTTTGAGTCGACTCAAAAATCGACTTACTACACATGGCAACAAGCATGAGGTCGTTTTTGAGGCGCCTTTTGAGGCTTTTGAGGCGCCTCAAAAACGACCTCAAGGAGGCAGGGCATGGCAACAAGCATGAGTGCTGAAGCAGAGGCGTGGCGTGGGAGGAGAAGTAGGGCGAGCGAGCCACGTACGAAATTTGAGGCGCCTCAAAAATCGTCTTAGGAGAAGTAGAGCGAGCCATGTACGAAAAGCCACGGGCGAGCCACCTACAAAAATCTCCTTTTCACGCACTCACGCTCCTATCCTCCTGCCCCTCTCCCCATCCCCACCACTCTTCACCGCCCCTTCCTCGCCCCAGTGCCCCGCCCTTCCGTCTCCCCGGCAGTAACATGACATGGCAGCAGGCGTGGGCCATGAGGCAGAGGAGGAGGAGAGTAGGGCAAGCCACGTACGAAAAGCCACGTGTAGAGAGGGTATTTTTGAGACGTGGTATTTTTGACACGTACAAAAACACCCTCTCTACACGGAGAGTTGGGCGAGCCACGTACGAAAATTTCCTGCTCACGCACTCTCCCTCCTGTCCCCCTCCCCCTCTCCCCTTCCCCTCCAGTGCCCCCTCCCTTCCCACTCCCCGGCAGTGGCATGACATGGCAGCAGGCATGGTCGCTGAGGCAGAGGAGGAGAAGGCGGACGAGAGGGGCGGGCCATGTACTGATCCCAACTCGTGCTGTTTCCCTCCTGTCCTCCTCCCCACCTCCCCGTCTCTCCCAGTGCCCCCGCCCTTCCCTCTCCCTGGCAGTGGCATGACATGGCAGCAGGCATGGGCGCTGAGGCAGAGGAGGAGGAAACAGTTGAACGCGCCCTCTGCGCTCTGGCTGCTCGCTGCTCCTGCTGTGCAGGTAGGGTGGAAGAAGGGTGAAGTGAGGGGGAGTGAGAGAGTGTGAGTAACGGTTGGTTGGTCCGCAGTGTGTGTGAGGAGAGCATGAGCGCTGAAGCAGAGGAGGAGAACACAGTTGAATGCGCCCTCCGCACAGCAGGAGCCGCGAGCAGCCATTCAACTGTTTACTCCGCACTCTGGCTGCTCGCGGCTTCTGCTGTGCAGGTAGGGCGGAAAAGCTGGGGCTGTGCTTTCTGTGGGAAAAATGGGAATATTGGGACAAATGTTGCTTTGAGTCAGTTGCTTCACACCCACCCTGTATGTAATGCTCTAGAACTGACTCAGTTGTCATCTCTGACCGTTCACTGTAATGGTTTGGTTTGTTTTTTCTTCTTCTTTTTAGGCGTTCAGTTGTCACTATCCTGAGCAATCATTGTCACTTTCCTACCATAGGTATGCCACAGGATAGCACTCTTTTTCGCCTGGGTCTTCAACATTTGAAGCGCCTTAAGCACTTCTCCACTCCTTTCCACCCTCCCACTCATACCGCATTCCACCATATCCCACTCTTCTTCACCTGGATCTTCACATGGTCTTCCCTACCCCTTTGGGAAAGTATTCACCCGTTCCCTCCCTCACTCCCACTGCTACCCCATGCCATGCCATCCCACCGCATCCCACCAGATCCCACTCTTCTTCACCTGGATCTTCACCATGCGTCACATGGCGCTATCAGCGCACCCAGGATTCGATGTGGTGAGTGGCAGTCTTCCCCATGTGTGTGTTCAAGTAGTAGCTTCAGCCTTCTTGTGGTGGGTGTTATTGTTTGGATCTTCACCATGCGTCACATGGCGCTATCAGCGCACCCAGGATTCGATGTGGTGAGTGGCAGTCTTCCCCATGTGTGTGTTCAAGTAGTAGCTTCAGCCTTCATGTGGTGGGTGTTATTGTTTGGATCTTCACCATGCGTCACATGGCGCTATCAGCGCACCCGGGATTCGATGTGGTGAGTGGCAGTGACTCCCATGTGTACGTTCATAGTTATTCGACTAAAAAATGCACTAGCTTGAGCCTTCATGTGGTGGGTGTTGTTTGGATCATCACCGCGCCGCACATTCCCTCGTGAAGCGAGGTTGTTTTTGAGACGTCTCAAAAACACTAGCTTGAGCCTTCATGTGGTGGGTGTTGTTTGGATCATCACCGCGCCGCACATTCCCTCGTGAAGCGAGGTTGTTTTTGAGACGTCTCAAAAACACTAGCTTCAGCCTTCATGTGGTGGGTGTAGTTTGGATCATCACCGCGCGTCACATTCCCTACTCGACACACCCAGCACTAGCTGGTTCAATCATTATAGCTGTTCAGTTCTCACTGCGGGATTACTTGGCTCACATAACGTATCATCATGGTGGCATCCCGTGTTTTGAGACGACTCAAAGCGTGCCTCGCATTACGTGCCATCACGACGGCGGCCCCCTCATTGCCTATTTGCCTTTCAGTCAGGGCGGGGTGTCTCATCTGTGGTACAAGGATATCGCATCTCCTATTTGCTTGTTTTCCCTAACAAGGATATCGCATCTCCTATTTGCTTGTTTTCCCTAACAAGGATATCGCATCTCCTATTTGCTTGTTTTCCCTAACAAGGATATCGCATCTCCTATTTGCTTGTTTTCCCTAACAAGGATATCGCATCTCCTATTTGCTTGTTTTCCCTAACAAGGATATCACATCTCCTATTTGCTTGTTTTCCCTAACAAGGATATCGCATCTCCTATTTGCTTGTTTTCCCTAACAAGGATATCGCATCTCCTATTTGCTTGTTTTCCCTAACAAGGATATCGCATCTCCTATTTGTGGTACAGGGATCTCGGATTTTTAGGACTTCACATCTCCTAACCCCCACAATCATGTGCTCCCTTTGCCCCTACCAGGGCGGGTGTCTGTGGTTCGAGGACCTCACAGCGTTCCCTCAAGGCGTGCTGGGTTGGGTCTTTCCCCTCTTCATCGCTGGATCATTCTACTCCTCGCTGCAGGTGCATTTGCTCTCTCTGACTTTCTCTGCTCTCTCTCTGTCTCTGTGCAAGGGCGTGTAATTGATGATGCCAATGCACAGGATGGGAATTGCGAGAAAGCAACTACAGCCAATTCACAGCCACTTCACTGCTGCTGCTCCCGTTGCCCTCCCTCTACCCTCTTCGTCTCTTCCTGTGCAAGGGCGCGTAAGTTATGATGCCGCTGCACAAAATGGGTGTTGCGTGCACCCACAGCAACTTTGCCATCTCATTCCCTGCCCCTTCATCCCCCACCCCGCCTTACGTATCCCTCTCCTTCTGCTCTCCTTGTCTCTCTCTGAGAAAGGATGCGTAGGTGATGATGCCGTTGCACAAAATGGGTGTTGCGAGCACCCACAGCCCTGCCATCTAACTCCCTACTTCACACCCCCCACCTTCCCCCCCACCCTCGCACGTTTCTCTCTCCCTCTCCTCTCCTTGTCTCTCTCTGTGCAAGGGCGTGTAGGTGATGATGCCGCGGCACAAGATGGGTGCACTCACCACAGCATCACCATCTTACCTTCCCTTCCCCACCTCCGTCTGCGTGCCCTCTCCCTGCTTCCTGTTCCCTCCCTCTGCTCTCCCTCTCTCTCTCTGTGCAAGGGCGTATAGGTGATGATGCCGCTGCACAAGATGGGTGTGCACACTGCGTCTGACAAGGCCATGCTGGTGAGGGGTGCTGAGTTGTGCTGAGGAGAGCTGCAGGGTGCTAAGGGGTGCTGGGCTGGGGTGCTGGTGGTGAGTGCTGAGGGGTGCCGGTGGCAGCAGGTGCTTAAGAATGACTGAATTATTCTTGTCAATGCTCATGCGTGTATTCTTTTGTGTGTGCTGAGCTTCACTCTTCATCTCCTTCCCCTTCTCTCGATCCACCCCCTCTTTTCATTCCCCCCCTTCTCCTCTCCTTCCACTTCCGTGACTCCCACAAAGCCTTCTGAAGCCTTCTGTAACTCCTCCTCTCCTCCCCATCCACTCCACCCATCTCATTCCCCTCAGTCCCCTTCCCTCCTCTCTCCCTCCCCCACCGTCACTCGGCCCTGCCCACCCACACCAGGCCTACCGAACCTTCCTCGAATTCCTCACTCTCCCGACTCTCTATGCTGCACTCAACGTTCCCCAGGTGATTTTAATTTTGAGACGTCTCAAAACTACTCTTTCTACACGTGGTTCCTCCTCTCTCTCCCAACTCTCTATGCTGCACTCAACGTTCCCCAGCCCAGGTGACTATAGTCTATACCAGGTGATGCCAGCAACAAGTAACTGCAGCTTTCAAACTAGTCTTGAGGCGCCTCTGAACTAGACTCCTCTTGAATTCCTCACTCTCCCAACTCTCTATGCTGCACTCAACGTTCCCCAGGTAGTTTAGGAAATGACTGTTGGAGGTGATTGTAGCAGGTGGTTTCAGCAGGCCACTGGTTTGGGATGGTATGTTAGCGCAGGGGCAGCAGGGGCAGTGCGTTGGATTGGGTGTTGTCCAACGCGCCTGTTAAGCCCCCACTACTGCATTTCAACCGAGGTGACTTTTGAGTCGACTCAAAAGTCATGGCAGGGGCAGCGCCTTGGATGTTTGTCCTGTCATCATTGCACCCTCTACTGCTGGGATGTTGGATGTTGGGATGTTGGATGTTGGGATGTTGGATGTTGAGATGTTGGAATGTTGGGATGTTGGGATGTTGGGATGTTGGGATGTTTTTGAGTCGACTCAAAAGCAGACTGCTGGGATGTTGGATGTTGGATGTTGGGATGTTGGGATGTTGGATGTTGGGATGTTGGATGTTGGGATGTTGGGATGTTGGGATGTTGGATGTTGGGATGTTGGATGTTGGGATGTTGGGATGTTGGGATGTTTTTGAGTCGACTCAAAAGCAGACTGCTGGGATGTTGGATGTTGGGATGTTGGGATGTTGGGATGTTGGATGTTGGATGTTAAGCACCCTCTACTGCATTTCAGCCGCTTCAACCTGTTTCACCTCTCTCCACTCCCCCTTACCCACAAAACCCCAGGCAGTGCACGTGTACTGGCTCACCAACAACACCTTCACTCTCGCTCATCATCATACCTGTTTATCCACCTCCACCTCTTTCTACCCCTCTTTAACTCGTTTCACTGTTGTCCACTCCTCCTTCCCCACACCCCAGGCAGTGCACGTGTACTGGCTTACCAACAACACCTTCACTCTCGCTCAGGTGCCCACCCTACCCCTCTGCATCCCTTCCCATCATTTCCTTCACTCCCCCTCCCTTCACTTCCCATCCCTTCACCTCCCATCCCTACCTCTCCTGCATCTTCCCTTCCCATCCTTCCCATTCCTTCCACCCTTTTCGTCCCTTGCCATCTCTTTCCATCCCTTCTTATCCCATCCAATTCTTTCACCTACCTCGCCTTCCCATGTCTTATCGTCCCTTCCTTCTCATCCCTTGCCATCTCCTCCCATCCCTTCTCATGCCATGAGATTCCTTCTCCTACCTTCCCTCCCATCCCTTCTCCTCCCTTCCCGTCCAACTCCTTCATCCCTCTCCATGCCACTGCACGCCCCTGTATCTCTCCTCCGCATGAATCTGTTGTTAAGCCATATAACCACCACACTGCACTGTTTTAAACCCCCCCTTATCCCCTGCCGCACCTCTGTATCCCCCCTCGCCCCTTTGCCTTGGCACTCCAGTTCCCTCATCCATTGCCTTCGCCTTGCCTTGCCTTGCCTCTCAGCTTTTGAGACGTCTCAAAAGTCATCCATTGCCTTCGCCTTGCCTTGCCTCTCAGCCTGCCCCCCATCGCACACCTGCATGCCATGCAGCATGAAGCCAGAACACCATCGTAGTGCACCGCTTTGAACCACTCTGTCCACACTTCCTTCACTCCACTCTCCGCAGGCCTTGGCACTCCGGTACCCCACCATCCATCAAGCCGTAGGCCTGCCTGCCCACCATGGCACAGCTACAGGCCATTCAGCATTCAGCCATAGCACCTCGATGATGCACCGCTCTGAACCACTGTGTCTGTCTCCTGTTTCTCCCTTTTTCTCCCCTTATCCGCAGGCATTGGCTCTGCGATCCCCCACCATCCGTCAAGCCGTAGGTCTGCCTGCCCACCATGGCACAGCTACAGGCCTTGCACCGCTTGAAACCATTATGTCCCCGCTCTCCCCCTTTTCTCTCTCCCCTGTCTCCCCAGGCATTGGCACTCAGATCCCCCACCATCCGTCAAGCCTTAGGTCTACCCACCATGGCACAGCTACAAGCCTTGCAGCAGCAGTATCACGCTCGGGCTGCTGCATCCTCTAGCCCTGCTGCTGCTGCGAATGGTGCTGGGAATGGTGATGCCACCAGTTTTGGAGGCGCGGGGAGTGTGGGGGGGTTGATATCAGAGCAGGAGATTGCGCGGATGACAAACCCACATACTTTGCTTCTGGTGAGTCCCTTATGTGATTGGTTTGTAGGGGTCTTAGAAAAACTGTCGGTTGTGGGGTTCCCTTTTCTGAGAATTCTCAAAAAACAGTTGTGGGGTTCCCTTTTCTGCACAACTGACAGATCCCCATGGCTGATAGACGTTCCGAATGCACCTTTGCTTGTATAAGTCTGAAAGTTTGAAACGCCAGGCATGAGACTGTAAGTATTATGGGACTGTATGGCCAAGAGGCCCTTTTAATTCCACTGATACTAATTTAGTCTTGAGAGACGTCTCAAAGTGACTTATAAGTCGACTCAGAAGTCGCCTAGATTATTAATCATGCGGATGTTTTGTCTTTTAGTTGACTCAAAAGAGGTCGCCTAGATTATTAATCTCGCGGATGTTTTCTTTTAGACGTCTCAGAACCATAGACATCGTGAGACACGAAACGCAATGCTTGCGACTGTACGGCCACAGTATACCTTACTAATTCTCTGCAAGATCTGGACTCCTGGTTGTAATTTGTGGAGCACCGCTCCTCCTGGCTGCTCACTTCACTGTTGAGGCGCCTCAAAAGTTATTAAGGGTATCGGGTCTTTTGCCAGTAAAGGGTCGTTTATTGTGCTCTTCTGCCGCCGTACTTAGTAACCTTGACTGTAAAATTCTTAACTGCCAGGATATCTTCTCTGTCATTCCCTTTATAACAGGCTGCAGCACAACTCAAGGCGGCAGGCAGCGTGGATCTAGCTGCTTGCGCTCTGAGGTGTGAAAGTTGGGGAAAATCTTGTCTGGTTTCCTCCGCTGGTATTATGTTTCCGCTAAAATCGAGGTGGTTTTTGAGATTATATTCCCTCAAAAACCACCTCCGCTGGTATCATGTTTCCGCTAAAATCTTGAGTGTGCATCCGTTGTTGCTGACAGCAACTTGCTGTCACATGCCCACCTCACCTCACCCATGCCCTTCTTAAGCTGCTTGACGAATGTGTTTTGCAAGAATTCTCAAAAGACGCATTCAGCTTGTTGCCGCCACATGCCTACCTGTCTCGTGTCATCCTTAGGCCACTTGTTTCTTTCTCTTGATGGCGTCGAAAGTACTTTCTTCCTGGCTTTTTTATCAGTACAAACACGCTTCTATATTTACATATTTTTTATGCCTGACTGACTCCGCTAAAAAATCTGGAGCACCAAAGTCTTTAAGCAACAAGTGTTTAGTGTCGCGCTTTGCCTTTCTACATCTTCCAACCTCCTCCTTCCCGCCAGGCGTGTTCTGGAGATTGACCAATCAGCATCCTCTGCATGGCTGGGATTGGGTCAGATGCACAGCGGTGCAGGGCGGTGGGTGGAGGCAGCTGAATGCTTCTCCCAGGCAATAAACCACTCTAAGGTACTTGATTCCTTCAGAGGTGTTAGCTATCAAGGTTACATGCAATTGGGTCAGACAGACAGCGGTGCAGCGCGGTGGGTGGAGGCAGCTGAATGCTTCTCCCAGGCGATTAACCACTCCAAGGTACTTGCTTACTTACCCTCACCAGGCTCAGTGCTGAGGTCTATCATCCTCCTCCTCATCCTCATCCTCCTCATCCTCCTGCTCCATTCCTTTTTTGTGAAGGCCTTCCGCACTGCTTCGCACTTACACCGTTTTCTTCTACCACATTCCCTGCAGGAGCGTGCTGACGTGGCAGTACAGCTGGCAGCTCACCTGGGCGCGGGTGTGGCATTGGCACAGCAGGTGGGTTGAGGTGAGGTAGGGTAGGGGCATTGGTGCTGCAGTGCAGGTGGGGTAGGTTGTGGGTGCATTGGCACAGAATGTGGATTCCAGTGCTGGCACGTTGATTACATCCGGTCCTGTCTGTATGCACATGCACATGCACATGCACATGCACATGCACATGCACATGCAGATTCACATGCACATGCACATGCACATGCAGATGCAGATTCACATGCACATGCACATGCACATGCACATGCACATGCACATGCAGATTCACATGCACATGCACATGCACATGCAGATGCAGATTCACATGCACATGCACATGCACATGCACATGCAGATTCACATGCACATGCACATGCACATGCACATGCACATGCACATGCACGTGAGAATCACAATTAGATTGATGGGAAGCCCATGAGGCATTCAAAAGTCACTTGGCTTCATTGCTAAGTGAAGAGAGGCCCAAGAGTTAGTGTTTCCATTGAGCAGAGCAGTCCTGCATTACACTGCCAACCCTCGCTCTCCTGCTCCATCCCTTCACCCCACCCCTCTCTCACACAAAAGCCGTCCGTCAGAGGCCAAGGCACTGCTCCAGGTGGCAGCAGAGGCGGTGCTGGAGGGGGAGCAGAGGAGAGACCCTCTTGAACGCCACTCTTCTCTCTCCTCTTCACCTCCTCCCTTGCTTCGCTTCATCCCTCTTCATCCAGAGCCGTCCTTTGGAGGCGAAGGCGTTGCTGCAAGTGGCAGCAGAGGCGGTGCTGGAGGGGGAGCAGACGAGAGACCCTCCATCCACCCCCTCACCTCTTCCCTCGTTTTGTCGTGACTCCCTTCCCCTCTCCCCCAGAGCCGCCCTTTAGAGGCAAAGGCACTGCTGCAAGTGGCAGCAGAAACGGTGCTGGAGGGGGAGCAGAGGCGAGACCCTCTGAACCGCCGGCGACACGCACAGGCCATGCTGGCCCTCGCAAGGTAGTGTGGTAGCAGCTGATAAGAACGTGGAATGGGCTGTTTCTTGGCATAGTGTGACCCGCGGCCATGCTGGCCGTCGCAAGGTAGTGCTGTTGAATTTAATCTTTACAATCATTGCAATCCCGTGTGATGGATTATTTTTGCGGTAAGTTGTACCGAAATGTTTTTTATGCTCACAGGTCATGCTGAACCTTTCTCTCCTCCCCCTGCCTCTGACTTCCCCCTTTCCCATCCCATGCCCCTGCTCTCTCCTTTTTCCATCCCCTCCCTCCCCTGCTCCCCCGCCTCATTCCCTGTTCTTCCCCAGCCTTTTGAGCACAGAGGGAAACCGCAGGGAGGCGAGAAAGTGGGTGGGAGCAGCTGCAGACCATGATCCTTCTGTGCTTTTGTGTTGACTCAAAACACTTCTACCCCGTTCTCCCTTCTCCCTCAGCCTCTTGAGTGCAGAGGGAAACCGCAGGGAGGCGAGGAAGTGGGTGGTAGCAGCAGCAGACTACGACCCTTCTGTGCTGGATACATTCGGACAGGAGCTTGAGGGAGAGGGGGAGGAGGAGAAGGGCGTGGTGCAAGGGAAAGGGGGGGTGGTGTAAGGAAGGTGTGTTTGGCTCGACTACAAAGCTGGGCAAGGAGGCAGGGAGGCGAGAAAGTGGGTGGTAGCAGCAGCAGACTATGACCCTTCTGTGCTGGACGCGTTTGGTCAGGAGATTGAGAGAGAGGGGGAGGAGGAGGGGAAGGGCGTGGTGCAAGGGAAGGGGGGAGTGGTGTAAGGAAGATGCATTTGGCTCGACTTAGGTAAGAGAGTGGGTGGCAGCCGGTGCAGACTACGGCCCTTCTGTGCTGTACACGTTCACAGGGGAGCTTGAAGGCGAGGAGGAGGAGGGGGCGTGGTGCAATGGAAAGGAGGGGGTGTGTGAGGGCAACACCCTGGCTCTGAAGTGGGTGGCAGCCGGTGCAGACTACGGCCCTTCTGTGCTGTACACGTTTACAGGGGAGCTTGAAGGCGAGGAGGAGGAGGAGGAGGAGGAGGAGGAGGAGGAGGAGGAGGAGGAGGAGGAGGAGGAGGAGGAGGAGGAGGAGGAGGAGGAGGAGGAGGAGGAGGAGGAGGAGGGGTGTGCGGTGCAAGGAAAGAGGGGAGTGGTGTAAGGAAGCTGCTTTCAGCTCGACTATAAACTTGGCGAGGCAAGGAGGCCAGAAAGTGGGTGGCAGCAGCAGCAGATTACCATGACCCTCTTGTGCTGGACATGTTTTGGTCCGGAGCTGTATTTTGAGGTGCCTCAAAATACACCTCGATGCTCGCGGGTGGCAGCAGCAGCATGTTACCATGACCCTCTTGGGCTGAACATGTTTTGGTCCGGAGCTTGTGGGAGCGGAGACAGGGGGGCTGGTGCAAGGGAAGTGGGGAGGTCCTCCCCACACTGAACAAATGCCACTCTCACCACTCCTATCCAAGCAAGCGTTGCTGTCTCTTTAGGCAACTAATCAAATAAAGGACTTTATTTGGCCTTCTCTTTTGGAGTGAACCAGGTTGTAAAGAATTTCACAGGAAGCAACTGTCAGTTATTTTGCGACTCCCTCCCTATAAGAATCTACGGTGCAAACGTGCTGTTTCTCCCACCACTTCCGCACGGCCCGTTCCCCTGCCACTCCCTCCCTCCACTCCACTTCTCACAATATCCCCCTGTCAGAATCAGAACTACAGCGGAATGCGTTGTGTTGACAGAATTGGGGTACATCACCTAACCCTAACTAGTTGTACCCCAGATAGCCCAACCCACTACAGGCTATAATATTTGACACCCCCCCACCCCCAAGATTGATTTCTCTTGCCGCGTCACACTCATCCACACTAAGTCCCCAAGCCTCACCTCTATGCCCCCCCCCCCCCCCCCGTCCCAAGTGTTGGAAACAATAAGTCCTAAGTGCGCTTCTGTCGTATCAAAATCCAAGGTACCAAGCGAAGCAGTCCCAATCGAAGCATCGAGTCAACCTCGGAGGTTAGGGTAACCGCCTGGAGGTTACGAGAAAGTCAAAGGTCGCTGACCTTTGACTCGACAATTACAGCGCGACAGTTAAGGACACACAACTGACTCGTTACAGAGCAGTTGCCCGAGTCGCGCTATATCGAACCGCAACAGCAATACAGTTATCTATCTATTCCTTGTACTCTTATATAAATCCTTGTATTTGCTTGTTTAATTCAATCAACTTTGTTCTCACACACCAGTGCAAGGTCGGTTCAAATTCTTCACTAAACGCTTCCGCTGTTACAACTACTTCACCTAGAGTTATCCCTTGCAAAGATCCTAAGGGGCTATCTCAGCCCAACATGGTATGAGAGCAGACAAGGGAAATTCTACTCTTTTTCAATATCATTACAAGACATGGCAACAAACAAGGAAAGGAGCTCCCCTAATGGCTCCTCGGGCACTACTCCTACTCCACCGTCAGCCTCTGGCCTGCAGACAGAAGAAGGCACGGCAACAAGACCAAGAGGAACGTCAACCGAGACCCCCATGAACCACCCTTCGGACTTTGACCAGAACATGATGGAGAAATTTTTCTCCTTCATGTCCTTCTACGAACAACACCAGCAGTCGGGACCTGCACAAACACACAACAGCAACAACGGAGCGACACCCATGAGTCTTGATGGGTCGTCATATGCGCGAGGAAACCAGCAGCAGCAACCTACCTTTGCTCCGTACGAGCGCGGGTCAATCAGCTTCGTGCCCCACCCGCAACCTTCACCTGGACAAGAAAGACCACTGGACGCACTTCAAGTTCAGTCGCAGTTTGCACACGTCTTAAAACTGCAAACGTCAAGACCCTTCGACGGCAAAGACTTCTTTACCTGGTCCTTTGAATTCGAGCTGATGATGGAGGGCGCGCAGATACTCGGCTTCTTCGACGGGTCCCTGCAGTATCCAGCCAACGGGACACAATATGAAAAGCAGCAGTATACGTATCAATCAATGATGGCGTATACAATCCTATTGAGGAATGTGACACCAACTCAGCAGCAGAACATTCGCTCTTACCGGACCTTCGGCAACTCGGCGGAGCTCGCGTACAGCCATCTGAAGAACCTGTATCAAGCAACAGACAGTGTGAACCAGAGCAGGTTAATGGCGCAGTTGACGACAGTCGAAATGAAACCAGGAGAAAAAGGACTGGCGTATATCAGCCGATGTCGCGAACTGCGCAACAAGCTGCTTCGATGCGGAGGGTCAATCTCTGAAGACGCCTTCGTGACAGTCATCATTGGTGGGCTTGGTCCTCAGTGGCGCGCCACCAAAGCCATTCTTCGAGCCCACGGAAGAATCTCTGAAGCTGCACTCTGCGCCGAAATACATGCCGAGCAGCAAGATATGGACCTGCAGGAAGAACGACACAGGAAGAAAACGACAGTATCAGAGTTCGCATTCCACACTCAACGACGACACAGCAATTATAACAACCGACAGCAGCAACCGAAGATAGTACCTCCCTTCTGCCACATCTGCAAGACTTCAGGGCACCCGCGCACACACTGCCCGAATCGTCAGCAATCAACGGCACCACAGCGACAACTTCGACCTTCAAGCTCCCAAATGGCTTCAACACAAGCAAGTGCGACGACCACTATTCAAGCTTCAACGACTTCACCCGGACAACCTGCACAAGGAGCAAGAAATATAATCAACTGCATGACGAAGATAACCGATTCATGTACAACCGAATCACCACCACACTACTCACCGGAAGAAGAGCTTGACAACAGAACGCCTCGCCGTGAGCTACTCCAGCCGAATCCAACGTACGCCGCCATCGCTCAAAGTGAACCGTCCGGCCAAGACACCTGGTTCTTGGACAGTTGCTGCGGGCAACACATGTGCTCGTCCGGGCGTTTCGTACAACGCGAACATCGACTCCAACGGGAAGTGATCATCACGGTTGCCAACAACCAAAACCTGCGCACACGAAGACAAGGAGTGGTACAGCTTCAGTCAAGAGAAACAAATGTCATACTGCACATGTCTAAGGTACTCATCGCTGAAGGACTCGGCTACAACTTACTGAGCGTTAGCCAGTTGATGGCGAAAGGAATTCATCTGGAAGCCGACAGCACGACCCAGGAGTTCAAACTTTACCACGGGAGAGGCGGTCTCTACATCGGGAAAGCAGTGCTGAAGAACAACGTCTTCGTCCTCGACTTCGTTCCTGACCTGGGCACTGCAGACAGCGACGCCATCGTGAATTTCACTGACTGGACACACCCTCCGGATCTCGACCCCGACTTCAGCCCAGGAGGCTTCTGGTACTCGCACACCATTCCTGAAGCAGAACGAACACGAGCATTAGCAACAATTCGACAATCGGCAGCAGTAACAACATCGGCAGCAGCAACAACATCAGCAGCAGTAACAACATCGGCAGCAGCAACAACATCAGCAGCAGTAACAACATCGGCAGCAGCAACAACATCAGCAGCAGCAGGAACAACGACACCAGTCACAGTCGACGAAGCACCACCAACACCCGCGAAACAGCTGAATCCGACTCAACGTGAAGTCCACCGAAGCGCCAACCTCGTCGCCAGCTTTTACTCCAACTCCGACGCATATCAGCGTTCACCTGGACACCGTGCCTCTGAAGAGATCTGGCACGCACGAACAGGACATCCAAGTAACACGGTTTTGAATAACACGATAAGAGCAGGAGTCCTTGACAAAGATTCTCTACTTCTACCCGATGGCAGAGAACTCCAGAAGGCACGAGGGACTTGCCTTATATGTCCCGAAGCTGACTTACCTCATCGACCGTTTGCTTCACATCACAACCCGAGCGCTCCAGCGTACGCACCACTCGAAAAAGTCTACAGCGACATCCTCTACAATCGCGAGCCAGGACAAGTCAACTACAACTACACCATCACCTTCATCGACGCCGCCACTCGATACGTCTGGCATCGCAACCTACCCAGCCGCGACATGGCGCTCACAGCATTCGCCGCCTGGCTACCGATAGCAGAGAGAGAGTCTGGAACACAACTGAAAAAATTCCAGTCAGACGGAGGTGGCGAGTACACCTCTCACCGCTTCAAGCAGTTCTTGGCGGAAAGGGGGATCAAGCAACTCCTCTCCCTTCCTTACGCACATCAGCAGCAAGGTGTTGCAGAACGACTGAACAGGACCCTGCAGAACAGCATGCGCAAACTATTACGTGGCATGCGGCTACCCAACCACCAGTGGCCAGCAGCAATGGACCACGCTGTCATGCTACACAACTTGTTGTCGTCGTCGTCACTCCCGAACAACGCATCGCCGCATCTGCTGTGGACAGGGAAGCAGGGCAGCACGAAAATGTTACGAGTTTTCGGGTGCATGGTACAGTACAGACCCCCAGAAGCACGAGCGGGAAGATTTTCGCAACGGGCACAGTGGGGACTACACCTCGGCATCGAGAAAAATTACAACGCATGGAAAATCTTCGACGTCCACACAAAGGAAACAGTAGCAGCACGTGACGTGATCTTCTACGAAAGACTCACCCTTCAGACGTACCTCGCCAACTTGCACGAGAATCGGGACCTCACCAGTGGTTTTCGTGGTGACCGAGCCTTCGCGTCAGCAGCGGACGAAGCAGACTGGGATGAACAGAACGTCGACAACGCCTCAGAAGAAGCCGGACCTCTCCCATACTGCTCCGTCGACGTGCCCATGGATGAGGATAATCCTCGCGACAGTAACAACGCCGAAATCTTCTACCGTTTCGCCGACGATGGTTACGTAACACCTGTGACAGTCAACACCAACGAAGCAGAAAGGGTAGGGCCAAATTTCATGCCCGACCCAGAAAAGGGAGACGAAGCAGCTTATCCCGAGGATCCAGAACTCCCTCGATACTCACAGACTGGGCTGCAAATCCTCGGCCTCGTCACCGCAGTCCACGGGAACACACGCAGCTCGCTTCCTAAGGAGCCTGCAACGGTTCAGCAGGCTCTGGGGGGGGAACACAGGGAGAAATGGCGTGAAGCCATGGATAGAGAACTGAAGGCATTAGAGGAACGCAACACTTGGAAGGTTGTTCCCGTAAGCGTGGCACGGAACAAAACCATCCTTACCGGGAAATGGGTCTTCCGCATCAAGACGAAAGCAGACGGC